GAAGCCCATAAATCATTTCTTTTCTACTTTTCAATTCAGCTATGAACTCTTCTCTACTCTCTGGCATATTAAGAACAGCTGATGCTGACTTTACAACCACATTATTGTTTTCACTTTTATATTTATGTAGGCAGCTTTGATCTGCTGACTAGATTTCACTTGCAGACTGAAACTTTCTTAAGATCGTAACTACTTTGTACTCATCATATCTGACAGATATCAGAGTAGTAAAAGTAGTAACTCGACTCACAACTACGGGGAAAAATGGCAAATTTTTGCATGGCATTTTCTAAATGGGAGCAGTGAAGTGTTTAATTTAATTTTAATGTATTTATTTATGCCATGCAAAACATTTAGCCTTTGACTGCACTCTGCAGACTTGGGGCGTCATTGTAGAGAGCCCCTGGATGGGGAAGTAAAGGGCATTGATGCGCCTCATTCATTTGGTTGTGCAAACTTTTTCAACGCGCACAACTTCAAGAGCTGCCAACAAATGGCAAGTGGCTTTTTAGGTACATCAAAATCAACACGCCGAACGACCGGATCCGGTCTCTGACTGACTACCAGTCCCCCAGCCTCCCAACCCCAACCCCCTCTGCATCTATATGGCATCAAACCCGCCCAGCGTCGAGTGGCTTTTAGCGTGAGTGCGCAAAATTATGCAACTATTTGTGCAAACAACTAGCACAACGACAACGACAACGAGAACGATAACGCCAATGACAACGTTGGCAGCAACTCAATCAGCCGAGCTGCCGGCGGCCTGATTGTGGGCCAGGTTTCTATCAATGAATTACAACCCGTTCACCGGCAACCGGAAGTCAGCTGTACGCTGCCGCAGGCCGTTGCGCCGTTGTGGCAGAGCAGCTAAATTTCAGTTACCAGGCGCTGATTAACTAGAATTGTCTATTAAATCACTATCCTGTTCCGATTTATCGACTTATCATAAGGAATTTTAAGAGCCTCTCTGTGAAAACTTTGAACGGCTTTGCAATGCATTATGTTCCCCTCTTTTAATACTAATACTACTCTGTTGCCATTTGTCAATATTTAACATGTAGTTTGTAGAATATCACAATTATTCTTATAAAGAGAATTCGAGTTATTTTCATTTAAAATTACCCATTCAAGTGCTTTTTGGTTAATTATTCAACCTTTAAATTACTATCATTAACACGTCCTTCTGGTTAAATTGCAACAATTTAATATACTTTAATGGGAAGTAAAAATGAAGTCTGTGGCATACTGGACATGGGAGCAGTTGAAAGGCAGAAAATAGATTTTAAGGTGTGTCTTAGTGTCACTCTTTGATTTTCGTGAAGGAAGGATATTGTGTCTAATATACAAAGACTCTGTAAGACAAGCACACACTCTATGTATATGAAGCAATTAATATCAAATCGAATTCAAAATGAAAATGAAAACATTTTGATGCGCGATTAAATTGAGAACATTAACCAAAATTCCATTTTAATTTAATAAGATTGTTTAACGTTAGCAGCTTTTGTTCATTTGCTCGGTGTGCAATCAGGCAATAAAACAATGGATCTGCGAAGCAAAGGTTGCAAATTAAATACTTGACACTGAAGCAAGGCTGAGCAAGAAATTATAAAAAATAAATGAGTAGCAGCAGCACACACAAAGCCACACACACACACACACACACACAAGCACACACACAGATGCACATGAAAAATTGAAGACTCACTCGCAGATATCAACACATAAATACTAAATGAATGCGTGAACACACACAAAACACACACAAACAGACGAACACACACACACACAACACACACACACAGAACACACACTCTTGCTCTGCTCTGCTCCAGCATCTGAGTGGCTTCATTCGTCCAATGATTGCTCAAGTGTGCGTCCAACACTCACACATGTCTCTGTGTATATCTCTGTGTGTGCGCGTGTCTGTACGTGTGTGTGTGTGTGTGTGTGTGGGGGGTTGTGGGTGAATGGCGTCCACACATCCTGCGCGTTTCCTCATTATTTTTGTGCAATCGCTATGGGCGCTTTGGGTGCTGCCTTTCCCGAGACCCTTTCCTCCTTATCCCTATTGTTGCTGTGCTTTTTTGTTAGCCCGCACAATATTCTGATCCGGAGCACAGCCATCATGTATATGTATGTGTGTGTGTGTGTGTGTGTGTGTGTGTGTGTGTATGCAAAGTGTTAAGATTTGAAATTTTTATGCCCTACGCTGTTGTTGTTGCTGCCTTTGCGCATTTCTTTTTTATTTTTGTTGTTTTGTTTTTTGCTTTTTTTTTTTTGCATTGTGCCATTGCCTTTTGTTGCTTTTAAAAGCCATCTGCTCAAATTGCTCAACAGTGCGCAGCAAAAGTGAAAAAGCCAAAGAGAACGTTGCAGTAGTAAAGGCAACGATAACAAATGAATGGTTATACCATTTTGCTTATGGAACTTGGCTCAGAGATCCGAGATAAATCAGCGATTTGGTTACCAATTGAGACCGATGAGTGCATAACTTACAAAAGAGGACAACAATTCGATCAGGCTGACAATCGTTCACAATTTGTCGCTATTAGTAGCCAGTTTCAACAGCAGTTTGTAGCCTCATTCAGACCAAGATAGTATGAGAGCATTTACCATATAATATTAACTTTTAAAAAGGTACACAATTAAGTTCCACAATGTAATGAGTCTTACATTACTATATCTTATTACAAATTGGTATAGTTGACAGCGGACTTCAACTTATTTAAATTAGTTAAAACTAGCATTTCTCAGGTGCAGGTTTAAATTGTTTATCAGCTGTCTAATGACACAGTGTTTCTTATAGAGTGTTCAGGTTTTGTGTGAGGCAATCAGATTTTAGCTGATATTATAAAATGTATAGTCAGCTCGCAGCAACCAGCCCGCACCTACTACCACTGCCAATTGAATTGCTTATAACACTTGGCATGAGTTCACGTCTCCATTTGCATGAGCCTTGTGCACATTAACGTCAGGCACACAGTCGCATAATCGTATTCGGGCTGGCAGTCAGCATAAAAAATGAAAGCTAAGCGCTCATTAAGGCATCATTATAATAAGTTATTTATGGCGGGGAGAATGGAAACTTGAATCTTGTATCTGCTGCTCATTAAATTGCTCTGTCCGCAGTCTCTTAGAAATAAATTGCAAACATTATGGGAAACCATTTGGAAACAGAACTCAACACAATCTTAAGTGTAGACACTTAACCAACAGCTTGCATAAGAAAGTCAGACCATGCAGTAATTAAGTATAGTAGCTGCCTTACAAAAATTGAAATAGTTGCCTGTAATACACTTTTTTTTAGTAAATACTAAGAGTTCTTAGCTCTTGACCAGCATAAAAATAAATATGCAAATAAATAATCTACGGATATGGTAGACAAGCAAACAGTTTAAGGCTAATGATGCATTTCTTTGGCTATGGAGAAAGGGGCAACTATGCGTGTATATGCAAATACTTAGTAGCGTCGAAGTTGCTACTAATAGGTCAGACCCTTAACATATACACACAAATAAAAACAAAAAACGAAAATAAAACACACACACACACATACAAACATTCAACGATAGACGAAGGCTGACTTAATTTGTTTACCATATGACATAATACCAAAAAGGCCAAATGGCAAAGAGCGCAGCTATTTATAGCAAAAAAAAACAACAGCGACGCAAAAAAAAACAAGACAACACTCAATGTGTATGTGGGAATGCGAGTGTGTGTGTGTGTATGTGTGTGTATGTGTGTACACACCATGACGTATGCGTAACGTGTAAAATTTGTCTCAAGTCCTGCGTTTTGTTGTCTCAATTAACTATTTACCAAAATGGCAACAAATAAAAGATGCGATGCATGACACACCGTATAAGTATAACATTAATGAAAATTATAATTACAAACACTCTGACACAATGTGATAAATGACTAATACAAATACACTCACTTACTTAAGCAGCTGGTCGACAATAGCCAAATCCGATTAAAGTTTCTGAATTCATTTCTATAAAATACAAATAATTTGAGACTTTATTGCGTCCGAATCTGTTTCAAAGTGAACATTCATCTTAATAACTATTAAGATGATTAAAAACCTTATTGTTGGTATTGAGAGTCAAAGAAGCGAACTAAATTCGACTGATTTAGATTTCATTGAAACCGAGCTTCTGCTGTTAAAGATACAGAGTACAACACATAATTACAAGTCAGCAAATTAAATTGTGTATAGATAATTGGGCACATTTAGATTGTTGATAAATGCCAAACTAAAATGTTGTATTTGGATTTTAAATTTCTTTTTATTGCAATATTTGCCCGTATTTGCGAAAGGCATTTGCTTAGCAAAGCAAACACATAAATGTTTCCACTTGGTCATACACAGGCAATTTATTTAGGGCAAATAATTAACACATCTGCCCGGACAAACCACAGTCGGTAGAAATGTTAGTACTTAAATTATTTGGTGTTCACACACGTTGCAAATGAATTAGGCAAACTATTCGGTGTTTAAGCAAATTGAATTAGTCTATGGGAACTAACAGACTAATAACTTCATTTGGCCTGAAAAGCTTAAATGTGTGGAAAACTTTTCATCTGGCCTAAGAGCCAACATCATAAGTAGCAGAAATCTGTAGACAAAATACATTTAGTTTTACAATTTCAGGTAATTTTTAAGCATTTCGTAAAAAACGAACTATTTAATGTTTAACAAATGAGAATTTTTTGTAAGAGCTCAGAATTTTAAGAGGACTCTAACTTACTTTGTTGAATAACCTTAACATCTTGTGTGCTTGCAAAATCGCTGATTACTATTTAATCTAATTTTGCTTAGTATCGCTTTGAAATATTCCATCACACACCCCAAATACTTTTGACCTTTCACTGAGCACCTATATAATATATATATATATATATATATATACATTTATATGTGTCAATTGACCTTGCTTTAATGTCATGTGCTAACCTGTTTTCTTTCCCGTTGCTTTTTTCACTTGCAGGTTTCCTTTCTTGGGACGTTTCCGATTGTCATGTCGACTTGGAAGAGGAGCTCAATACAATTACACAACATGCACCCGAGGGCGAGGAGGCGCGTCACGGTAAGTCAAAACTCAAATCAAGGGGCACCTATTTTCAATGGAACGAACAGTCAGCTAATTGGACGCACAAAAAATCCAATACGATCGAATGGGAGGCTGCCCAACAGACTGGAAGAAATAAAACTTTGATGTCAAGTTAATGACAAAGTTGCCAATAATTTTGGTTGGCCTTTGGTGTCAAACAAGTTGAAAAGTTTAAATGGACATAACTAAATGTAAAAAGCGTGAGCGGCATATTAATTTAAAACGCAAACTTTCCAATTAGACAACTGTTCAGTGTGTAGCAGAAAATTACAAAATTAGCCAAGCAAATTTTGACAATTGTCTTTCAACAGCTTTGACAATTGTCATTTGTTAAATTTCAGGCTCACGATTTGTGCTGGCTTTGTCTTTTGTGTGATAAATCCAAATCGGATTGTGCCGCATTTTCATTTTTATTTTCATTTTCCCAAGCGCAGCAGCATCACCAACAACAACAACAACAATAATAATAATAATAACAACAATGTGACAAAGCCTGCCAAGTGTTGTCGTTGCGGATTAGTTGGGAGAACGTTGTTAAAATGCATTCAAGTGGCTGCACTGCATCGAGCGAACAGTTTCTCCTCCTATGCTCCTCCTATCCTCTCATCCTTCGGTTATCCTTCATCGTTTTATATTTGTTTTTGTTCTCTGCTTGTGACAACGATGATTGCCTCGTTGCTGGTGCCCAAATATGAGCACTCGACATTTAAGTAAGACTTGCATGCATGCTCCAGAGGTTATGAAAATTGCACTCGTCAGTTGATTTGTGGGCCTTAAGTATCTCAAGCTTGAAGATCTATCAAATATGAGAATAGTTCTTATTTTATGACTTTCAATTAGGAGTCTATAAATATTGAACTTTTATTTAAAACTTGTTTGTAAATACTTGCATTTATGTTTAGTGTATTTATTTATTTAATGTTTAATTGAGACTGATGAGTTGTTTTCAACTTTTTTAACGATGTTCGAGTATGAGTTCAGGCCGCAGATACTTATAATTTTATAAATACAATTGGAGGATGATACTCATTTTATGACTTTCAATTAAAAGTTAATTAATATTGAACTTTTATTAAAAAGCTTAACTGATATTCATTTTTAGTGAAATATTATATATTAATATTAATTAAGAATGAAGAGTTATTTTCAACTTTTAAAATTTTGTTTTAATTTGTTTTCATATAGGTTATAGATACTTATCATTTTATATATGCGACAATAATAATTGTACGCTCAAGAATATTCGTCATTGCTCCAAGTCTTAAATAATATTTTCAATCATTCAAAAAATTATAAATTGATTTCCATTTATTGTAAGGTGTCACTAAGTCAAACAAAATGGACGAGAACTTCGACAAGTTCAAGTTAAACAAAGTTTGCATTAAAAATAAAAAGAAAAAATAGCCATGCAAAATATTTTACAAACTGTGGGTTACCTGAAAATAAAATTGCTGTAATCAAAGCAGCCCAACACAGAAATACCCTGTAGCATGCATTCTTGCAAGTATCTGTAGAAAAACATGCGTATGTCGACTCGCCTGATTCACGCACTAAAACAAAAACAAATTGTATATATTATGGAGGATTTCAGCATACATTTACATATGTCATTATAAACATTTCACTTTTCACAATTTTGAATGACTGCAGAGTACAGAATATGAAAATTAAAAAAAGTGTAGCACACTTAGCAGCGCCCACCTTGAATGAAATGCACTGAGGCTATCCTTGGGATTGCTGGTAAGTGCCAGAGCAGCACTTGCACTCAATGCCTTTTTGCCATTGTTGTCGATGAGGACTTGGCAAAGTGAAATCTGAATTCTGAGTTCCGAATTCTGCATTCTAATTTTGCCTGCACTGCTGCAAAACTATTCAAACAAAACTCTCAAATGTCGGCGGACACGCACAGGCCGTGGCTAAATAATGATGCAAGCAAAAGGGCGTCCGTCAGAATAGGTTCTGACAAAGGCCACGGCATGGCGATCTGGCACCAGGCGGGCAGTCTGTCAGTCAGTCAGTCACTCAGTCAGTCAGTCAGTCACTTCAAATGCAATTGCAAACACTAAAAAGGCTGAATTTAGTGAAATACTGTTCGGGATCCCGAAGATGTTGAGATGCACACGCCTCGCTTGGCGCTTTGTGTGGTCGCACAGACTCCATGGGCATTCTAATTTGACAAAGGTTAAGACGCTGGAAGCCAGCACTAAGTCGATAAAAGTCAGCACCTCCGTTAACAAAGCGCTGCTGGCTTCCACTGCTCAGTGTCCTTCGAAGTGTCACTTCCTTTGTCCAGCAGGCGGCGTACAGGCATCGTGTATCTAACGCCACTTTCTGGGCTCTTGTCATCTGGCAACTGCCTTCTTCCATCAGCCAACAGATTCAGTTTCAACATTTTATCCATAATTGTGCTCTTATGGCTGGTATAAGCTCCTGTCGGTGCATGAATTCTCATCTTGGGCACTGCAGCTGGGGCAACTTTTGAGCAATTACAAGCATTTGCTAACAAGCGCATAGTTTATATATATGTATGTATAATGGCATACACTCTTTAAAGGCGTTGCCCTTATTATCAACGACAAACTTGTGTTTCAAATTTTAATTTGATGCAGTTTACTTAAGTTTCGCATTGGGACTTGGGGCAAAGTTCGCTGCACAAAACTTTGTGAGTGCAACTGCCACAAAACAAAGAACGCGTTAATCTGCAGCAATTATATACTATAGTTGAGGCATAAAAACTTCAAGCAGATTTCTGCTCATTTCACACCCGTCCAGTGAATTAACTAACTGGCGAGTCCGTTTTTTAAATTCTCTTGTAAATTACTCACGGCAATTTTGCAATTTGAACTTAAATGGCAACATAGAAATAAATCGGATACAGACTAAAAGTGTCTTTATAACGTGTTCGTTAATTAATTATTATGGCATTTTGAACCGATTATACTGAAGTAAAGAGTAAAGCCAGCCCAGATTTGTATTACGAGAGCAGCAAGCGAGTGGATTCATTATTTGGCAGTCGTTGTAGTCTCACAATACATGTCAGCTTGCATTGTTGTAACTAGTGTTATATTGTGGGCTCTGCACAATTTGCCATTACTAAGCTTTTATAAGCGCACAGCATTAACAGTCACACACACACACACACACACACAGACACACACACACATATATATATATATATAAGCTTTAAAGACATACAGATTCTTGAGATATAACGAATGTAAAATTGATAGATAGAGCCTGACAAACATACAGTATAAAACAGACGCCCACACATATACATACACCCACTCACACACACACATCCACACACCCACACACACACACACACAGACATACATTCATGCATTGGACAAGGCCATCATACTGACAATGGCTGTGCTGCTCATGCATAATTCAAGCACCGTCAACGAATGGAAGGAGAACGCCAAACTGAGAGAAAGAAATACAATAAGATGGCAACGATATGTAACCACCCACCCCGCCCCCACCCACGAACTCAAAAAGTTAGGCAAATAACTGAATGCCGGGTAGTCAGACATGAACACACACACACACATACGTAGTAAGCAAATAGATAGCCAGGCAGGCAGACAGAGAGGCAGACATCATTGGCATGTGTATACTCGCACTCGAAGCAGAAGAACTGCACGCTCCAGCTCTGCTTGGTCTGTGAAGCTAGTTGCTTGCCAGAAACACATCTGGCAGCAGAGATAACCAACTATAAGTAAATTAAATAAAACTATAAGCCGCTCTTATTTTCGAGTGTCGAATCAGAAATACGCTTACACCTTAATTACATTTTAAACAGATTGTTTCTTGCACAAACACGTCCGCTTACTTTTCTTTATTCACGGCGATTGATTTCACACAATTAATATAGATCGATATCGATATCAGATGTTATTTAACAGTCTTATTACATTACAAGTAGCTTGCTGCAATATGAGTATATTCAGCCGAATAACCTATTGAAAGGTTATATATCATTTATTTGACAAAGAACAAACAATAACAGCAACTTAAAAAAAACTACATTTTTGGATATCAGTTGCGATGTCCAACGTTCCAGAAACCGCTGTAAAATGATACATCTATACATGTGTACAAGTACAAATTTTGATCAAACTGAAAAATCGTTTAATGGATAACTTTGTGGAGACATCATTGACTGGCTTGAACCATATTACCGGTAGACAAAGTGTGCTCGTTAGTACTGGTTATTGTATTGCAAATTGGGTTTTCTGGCTATTCTTAAAATACTAATTGGTCATGAGCGGACTGTTTTCTTAAATAGTGTCGATTCGCGAACAGTATATAAAAATACTTAATTTGCTACTTTTAACTATGAGAGCAGCAAACACAATAGCTTTCTCACAACTGAATTTCAAGCCATTGTTGCCAGCTGCATAATATGTAATTGGCATTTAAACACACATAACAAGTGAGTTTGGTTAGGATAAGAATTGTATGGCTGTACGTATTAGTATTAGCTGATCAATAATATATGTACCCTGCTTCCTTCTGCCTATCACAACAGACAACAGACTTTTTACCAGTTTCGAATGGGTACAGCGTAAGAGAACTATGAAAGAAAGGAAGTGACAGTCTTCTCGTTTCCTTCCCTGGTCTGTTGCCACATTTCCAGTGGGCGTGACAGACTTGCTGACAGGCGTCAATCCATATCCGCGTCGCTTATCAATGCCGACATGAGCCTGACAGAATGGAGCCAAATCAAATCAAGGCACACTGGGCATCTGAAGAGGGACATTCTGTGGGGATTTGATAGCGATTTGCGTTGCTTTTCATTATGCGTGTGTGGTGGAACAGCAAGGACGAGTTGTGGATGCCAATTGGGACTACAACTGGGCTAGTTGTCAAGTCTTTGAGTCTTGCAAGGTGCTATTGAGTCTGTTTTACAGCGATCTGGAGACCTGAGCTCATCATCGTCATTATCTAGATTTGTCTCACGGGAGCCAACGTCTGATATATATACTATATGATGACGAGCATGCGCACTTCTAATTAATGATGCATTGGTGCAAGTGGATGGCATTGATTAATGCTCTTTGCACGTGCCGCACTTAATTCAATTCTCAATTCTCCATTCGCGAATTATGCATTAAAGTGAGAATTTGTAACGCGCATTTAAATTTCACGAATCAACGCGAATGCCAGCCTCAGTGAAGCGTAAATACTTATTTAAATAAGCCCGTTGTGAAGCGCTGACTGCGTAATTGCGCAACCAGGCTGTCAACTCTGTCGTTAACTGACTTTTAAGCCAGCCAATTAGTGGACATATCATGCCACATGCCATAACAAAAAGCAAGTTCAATTCCCCTTAACCGAGTGCGAAGTCTAACCAAACATGTCATTATTAAATGTAAATCAATATTATTTCACAGTAATATTCCATTAATTACAATTATGAATTAAATAAGAAAACGGTAATTAGTATTATTGTTTTGGCTTGAATTGACTTAACTGCCTTTGCAATCATTTAAATCAATTGCCAAATATCGAGATCCCAAGATTCGAGCTTAACCTTTTTAATCAATCATACGCATTGAACATTTTAAATTTCCTTAAATTATGAATCAATAATTCATTTGAATACATAGAGAAAGTATTGCTTAAAACAATCGACATATTACGTATACGCGTATTTCAAGATATATGTATATATATATATATTTTTTTTCCTAATCGTTCTCTAGTTAAAAACATGATTGACTATCTGCTATATGATCATCATCAACGACTTTAATAAACTTTAATTCAATGCAGTGCCTCTCTGCAATTCAGAATTGCTGTTGAAAACTTTTATTCTTGCTCGGGCGCTAGCTTGACAGGCAATTATTCGCCATTTTGGTGCGAGTATGTGGCAAAAACCATAGTACAGGGTGGTGACCGGCGCCAACTGTAATTACTTTGCAGTCCGGCACACAAAGAAAACAAAAAAATATATATATATATATGTAGAGAAAAGAAGTGGCATAGAAATTAGAAATAAAGGAACGCATAGAAATCATAAAACAGAAAAAGTCACATTCTGTTGCTGTGCAAATTTGTTTTGATTCAAAAGTTGGCAGCATTCTGAATGCAGGCATTATAGTAGAGTTATTAACGATTAATCTGCGGCCATTTTGCCATTTTCCATTTTGGTTAGGTGCGACCAATGCGAAAACTTATCAATGGACGTCTAAATGCGAAAAACTGCACTTGACACAAACTCGAACCTAGTCACTTATGCGCTTAAAAAAAAAAAAATAAACTTTATTATTGTCGACATTTGGTATTATTTAGTCTGCGGGACTGGGCTGCAAGAGGTGGCCGACCACTTTTGTAAGCGATGGTTGCCACCAATTCGATTCAACTTTTCTTTGTGTGTGCGGTTTTCAAACTTTGCGGCTCTGTAAGAGCGCTTTGCCCCAGGGTTCCATAACGGCCACTCAGCCTATTGGCTTGTATCTGTTCTGTGTTAAGGTGCTTTGGGGCTTTCGACGCTTGACAAGCAAAGTTCTTAAGTGGCATTCGTCGTTGGACATACCAAATTGCAAATACTTTCAAGGCAACTGGCATTAGAAAGCTAAGCCAACAGCAAAAGTACACGGCTTCGAAATGTGATTTCGAACAGACTTGGCTTATAGTTACAGTTGTATGCTCTCCAAACATACACAAGCATAATCAGTGTTTTACAAGTGGACACTCGGAAAAAAGATCGCAATGAAATTTGCAAAAAAAAATATTTGAAAGTTTTTCTTGGTTAAGAAATAATTTTTAAATATTAGAAAACATTGTTCATAAAATGATCCTAAGTTGACTGTAGCAAACATAAATATTTTTTCTATTTCCTAGAGAAAAGTATTGCGAGTTACTTAAATTCAATGTGATTTTTTTTTTTGTGAGTGTAGCTTTCATCTGAAACTTATTAACTTTTCTCGATTTGAGCGCCACCCTAAGGTTAATAAGAAGCAAGAAGTCAAACCGCATTTTATTCACAAGACACAAAATGCGACACGCCTGTTGAGGCCGTAAAAAAGTGCGTGAAGGATGGCAACCTTAATTCTAAAATGACGCAGACGAGCGGGTCACCGAATGCGTTAAATCGTTAAACTACAATATGCGGCTATATGTGTCACTGCGCTTGACAAGCACACAGCACACAAAAAAGTACTCAGTGTGTGTGTGTGTGTGTGTGTGTGTGTGTTGTGTGTGTTTGCTTGGAGATTTGATAAATATAAGCTGCATTTATAAAAAGCAAAAGGGCCGCAAGAACAGCTCGACAAGCTCGACTATATGCTCATGTTGAAGAGTATGGGAGCTGGTGAGACGGGACAGCTGAAAAGAGAGGGAGGCAGAGGCAGAGAGAGAGAGAGAGAGAGAGGGAGAGGGAGATAGATGGGGAAAAAAATGAGAAAAAGATTGTGCGAAGCCATATGTAGGTGCACGCTTGGGCGCACTTCGGACTCGATGGCTTGTCGCTTTTTACGCGTACGTGGGCACATTTGACCGTTAGGCCAATGTGACGTACACTTAATGTGTGCACTCACAAACATTTACGGTATATGTATATGTATCCGTATCCGTATCTGTATCTGTATCTGTAGTAGTCATATATGTGCGCACTTATGTGCGTACATATTTGTATAGGTATCGGCATGGCATGTGCGCTAGCTTTTTGTGCTTTGTCAACGGCTATTTAGTGCAAGAAATGCGTAAATTATTTACATACATACATATAAATATGTATATGACTCGGCTGTAAAAGCATTTAGTGCTTTGAGCGTCAAGAAGCGTCCACTCATTCTCGATGATGATCATTGTGATGATGGTTGGCAGCGAATGACACGACAAGGTCGTCACCAAGGTCGCATGCATAGGCGGCATATTTCAGGTGCTGAGCAAATGGTCAGCGCTGCGGCCGAGAGAGAAAACTTAATTAATCCATAAAAATTAAAGATTTATGAAATGATATCCGCACAACTGCAGCTGGCGCGCATCTGTGGGTCAAATGTGAATATAATGCTTGAGAATGAAGCAAACTTAACTCGCCACATCCGAACACCCAACGTCTGACAATTTAAAGCCACTTGATTTGGTGCGTGCTTAATGCTTATATTCTCTGGCCGGGACTCAAGCGTTTGGTAATCCAAGCCTCTTGTGCACTTGCCTCTTAACGTTTCAGCTATTCATTAGTGAGCTCTGTGTGTTTGACGTTGAATACTAGTCCAACCCGACCAGACCGAGCGAACCACCGAACCACCGGACCACCAGAGCCCATCTACCAGTCCAGCGACTAGTTGGTTGGTTGGTTAGCTGACTCAGGCTAACAAACATTTTTGCGCAGTTAGCAGTCCAAGAATATGCGAGGTTTGCAGGAGTAGGGTGTGGAGAGGTGAAGAGGTGTAGAGACCAAACGAGCTCCTTGAATATATTGCCAAGCACATTGTGGTAAAGCTAAGCTGCTTAGTCCGGTTATCAATTACTATTCAAATCTACCTAATCTGTTCATTAAAGGAATATCTTGTTAAAGTTTCCCAATCTGAATACTAGCAATTAATTTGGGCGTTAAATTAAGAGCCAATTTGTAAATACGAAGCCAGGATTGATTGTAAAAGTTATAATTGAAATATGTAATAATACTGAGCTTTCCCCAAAGGCAATTGCAATTATATGTTTGCAGTTACAGTAATTGCAGCAGTTATTGAGAAAATATTGCGCTTAGAGTTAATTAATTTTTAGCATTTCCATGTCCATTAAATGAGTGGTTGCATCTCTTGGCTTTCTTTTAGGCGAGCGACTCATACAGTATGCCAGTGAGAATCTTGTGACGGAGGTGCTCATACATCCCCAATACAATACTCTAATACAGTGTATGCGTAATCTGCTCAGCAGTTTTACGAGGCATCGTCACATTATACACGCTGGGTATACCTTCAGCGGCAACGGTTCTTGGATACTACAGGTCGGTTACAGGTCAACACGGCCATTTAATGTCAAAGGGTCAAATTAAAACAAACAAACAACAAAAAAAAACCGTATTTATTTACAGGATGGCACCTTCTCGGTGGCTGACTTTGCGGAAGCATTTCAAGAGCACGACGTACAACGAGTGATACGCGCCTATGCGGATACCATAACGATGAATATACACTGTGCCGATGCTGGCCTATGGCACACACTGCCGGATAAGGTGTTTGCACGACATTGTAAAATACGCATAAATCCGGTTGATGTGCTGGACACCAGCAGCGAATATATCAATGGCTTTATAGGTAAGACAGGCGATTTTAAACTTAAACAGTGAACACATACTAACAAACATGTATTGTATACAAATTGCAGATTATTTGGCACCAATGGTGGTGCCAACCTCATTGCGTGAGTTGCTGGAGACGTCGGATGTGGTGGGCAACATACGCTTTACGCATCCCACGCTCTACGTCTTTCCGGGTGGTCAGGGTGATGCCGCCCTCTTTGGGATAAATGGCTTTAACATGTTGGGTGAGTGACGACAAGCCATCATATGTGGGAGGTGTGATGTTGCCTTGTTTGCTAATCGTTTGATACTGATTTTGCAGTTGATGGCGGTTTTAATCGCAAGGCTTGCTTCTGGGACTTTGCGAGACATTTGGATCGCCTCGATGCGGTGCTGATGACACGTCTGAATAACAGCAATGTGCAGGGACTTGGAGCTGTGGTGGCGCGGAAGCGAGACTCTCATGTCTATCCACAGATTGGACACTTTTTCGGTAACGTTCCCGACCGTAAGGGTGGTCTGCCCAGTCCCGATGGTGATAAGGATCGCAATCCACTGCTCATTGATCTCTTTGAGCGTGGCCATGGCCTGGTCAGTGATCTCAAAACCCTTGACCTGAAGCCGCAGTGTTGCTATCGTAACCAGGAGCCGATCAATCTGTATCACAAGGTTGGCCACGGCACCCTCGACATGTATGTGATAAGCCCCTCACGTGATTCCAAAGAGGTCAAGGACTTTATGCAAAAGTGGAACTCGGGTGACCAGCGTCTGTTTGCTGCCCGTGACACCAAGGAGTTTAACTTTCCCCTGCAGAATCTGGTATCCATTTGTGCGCTGCTCGTCTGGCAGCCGGCAAATCCGGATGATACCATAACCCGCATTCTATTTCCGGGCAGCACGCCAGACTTCAAGATCCAGGAGGGTCTAGAGAAACTCAAACATCTTGAGTTTATGAAGCACTCTACCTGCACAGCGAAGTCTATAGCTCCAGCTATACAAACTGTGACCAGCACACGGAAGACACTTAAATCTGCCATTGAGGCGACTCCGCCCAGCGCCAGTTATAAACCCAGTAAGTTTGGTCCAACTGCTATAGCAGCTGTGGCTGTGCAGCAGGACAACAAAGCCAAGGAAGCAGCTGCAGCGGCAGCAGCAGCAGCAGCAGTTGCAGCAGCAGCAGCAGCATTGGTCTCAGCCTCAGCGGAACCACCCAGTGAACAAGTCGACTGGCCAAATCAACTTGTTAGCGCAAAAGCCGACTCCATAGACACGGATGAGCCAGAAGCTGAGCCCGAGCTAGCTGTCGACACGGGTGATGAGGGAGCGCCAGAGCCATCCATGCCCTCAACAGAACCAGCCGAGCAAGATGACAACAAAGAGGTCGACGACGAAAAGAAGGTGGAGGTGTTAATTGTAAAGCCAGAGCTGGCTCCAACTGCTCCAACTAAAGATGCAGTTGATGCGCCCACAACTGAGATAACCAGCAAGACAGCGAAGGCTGCCAAGGGTAAACCGGACAAGCCAAGAGCGGAAGTCAAGCCAGTTGTGCGTTCAAGGATCGATAGTAAGCCGCCCAAGTCCATGGATCGTAAGCTGGTTAAGCGCGAGGAGAAGAAGAGTTCGCCAACGGCCACGCCCGCTGCAAGCCGAACGTCAGCTACGCGTGATGTCAAGTCGAAGGTGATTACACGCACCACTAAATCGAGTCCCAGCAGTACACCAGCCAAGAGTGCCAAGGAGGCCAACAATCGCAAGGTACTCGAGTCCAAGCAACAAGCGACGGCAGCTCGGCAGAGCGCGGTCGGCACTCGTCGCACCGTTAGCACCGTGGAGAAAAAATCACAGCAGACGGAGATGACGAAGTCAACACAGCAGACGACGATGCAGGCGGCGCAGCGTAAGCCAATTTCAAGAAGACCACGCGCTGTGTCTCCATCGAAACGGGCTCCGGCGCCAGGCAGCCCAATTAAGTCAGCCAAGCCTAAGCCGGATTTGAAGAAAACTCGTTTGGATAAGGGTGGCACCACAGACTCCAGCCTGGTATCGACACCTTCGGCAGATGAGGCGACAGCAGCCAAAAAGATGCTGGAGCTAAGCGCCTCGCAAGAGTTGGATGCGGAAAAGCAGCGGGAACTGGACGATCTGAAAGAAGAGCAGGAGGTGGTGCGCGAAATTGAGGCGGTGTTTAGTCGCGACGAGATGAAGCGACAACACTTGATCAAGACGGAGATGCGCGAGATGGCCAAGCAGGATAGCACAACGGAGGCCGAGGAGGAGGAGGAATACCTGATTATCGAGAAAGAGGAAGTGGAACAGTACACAGAGGACTCAATCATTGAACAGGAACAGGAGAGTAGCATGACAAAGGAGGAGGAAATTCAGAAGCATCAACGCGACTCACAGGAATCAGAAAAGAAGCGCAAGAAAAGCGCCGAGGAGGAAATCGAAGCGGCAATCGCCCGGGCTGAAGCAGAGGAGCGCAAAGCGCGTCTGGAGGGTAGTGAGGCTGCCAGGCATGAGATGCACGAACAGCTGCCAACACATGAGAAAACCGAAATAAAGGCGGAGGTTCAAGATATAATCGCCACTGCCAAAGACATTGTCAAGGGTCGCACCGACGACCAACTGCTACAGGCCAAAACCGCCGAGGATGAGTTGTCTTCTCCCACGCCTGACGAAAAGCTCAGTAGCGCAAAGAAAACATCTGACACTAAAGACGAGCCAATTGAAGCCCACGAGGCTTTGCCGTTGAACTTACAAGAGAGTCTTCCAGAGGAGAAATTCTCAGCCACAATCGAATCAGGAGCAACCACAGCGCCTACTTTACCCGAGGACGAGCGCATACCGCTAGACAAAATTAAAGAAGATTTGGTCATCGAGGAGAAGTATGTTAAAGAGGAGACCAAAGAAATTGAAGCCATTGTCGTGGCTACAGTTGCAGCACCCGTGACAGCTATGGCAGCTGGTATAGGCACAATCGAATCAAAAATTATTGATACTGCGCCATTTGCCGCCGGCGTGGATTCGACCGATCGTATTTTACCTAAGAAAATGACATTTGAAGCACAACAGAATCTGATGCGCGATGTTATCAAGACACCCGATGAGGTTGCCGACTTGCCTGTTCATGAAGAGGCTGACTTGGGGCTGTACGAAAAGGATACCCACGATGCTGGCGCCAAGAGTATTTCCCACAAGGAAGAGACAGCCAAAGAGGAAAAAGAGACCGAAGATGAAAAAGAGACCGGAGAACCAGAGACAGCGGAAATAGCAATTGACAAACTTGAGTCCAAAGAGGAGATTTCTGAGAAGATTATCGCAAAGCGAGAAGTCATCGTTAACCTGGAATCTGTTGAAAAGAAAAGCGAAGAAGCCGTTGTCAAAACAAGTGAAATCGTTGCTGAGACGACTGTAGCGAGCGAAAAGTTGGACGAAGACCATGAGCAGCCAGCTCCAATTGCAAAGAAGTCGGCAAGTACACCAGATGAGAAAGAAAAGAGCGAGATAACTTCCGAAGATGAGTTACCAGCGCACCTTGTGCAACCCACAGTTGCACCAACAAAAGTCAAAGACCGTGAAGATACAATATCTCTAGAGAGCCCCGCCACTATCGAGGAAGCAATTGAGGTCGAGATGCAGGTATCGCAACAGGAAACCAGAAAGCAATCTACCAAAATTGATGAACAACTAACACAATCTGAAACGGATAAAGCAACCCCAAGTGCTTCTAAGGATGTCTCTCGGCCAGAATCTGCAGCGGAAAGTGAAAAAGAAACAACTGAAAAACCAGCAAGTGTCAAGGATGCGATATCTAAGGAGCCCTCTCGGCGCGAATCTGTCGCAGAGACAGCGCCGCCGGAGATTGTGAAGGACGATAAGTCAATACCAACCTCCAAGGAAGTATCACGACCAGAATCTAAAGCAGAAAGTATAAAAGACGACCACGAAAAGCATGAAAGTGTAAAGGACGAAAGACTTTCAGAGACTCCCCGACGAGAATCAGTAGCCGACAGTACAAAGCCGGAGAGTCTTAAGGATGACAAGTCTCTACCTGCCTCAAAAGAAGCATCGAGACCTGCATCAGTAGCAGATAGTGTAAAAGATAAATTGGAGAAACATTTAGGTGAACAAGATGACAGGTCAGCGGACCCTTCCCGACGGGAATCTGTTGCTGACAGAAGTAAGCCCGAGAGTCTTAAAGATGACAAGTCTGCACCACCCTCCAAGGAAGTATCACGCCCTGCATCGGCTGCAGAAAGTGTTAAGGATGAATCTGAAAAACCTGAAGTTGTTACGGATGCTCATTCTAAGGAGCCTTCCCGTCGTGAATCGGTAGCGGAAATTATTAAGCCAGAGAGCGTCAAGGATGATAAATCTGAGTCAGTCTCCAAGGAAGTATCTCGACCCGGATCAGTTGTAGAAAGTATGAAAGATGAGTTGGAGAAGCCAGGAAGTGTAAAGGACGAAAAGTCTGTAGAGCCTTCTCGCCGTGAATCGGTTGCAGAGAGTATTAAGCCCGAGAGTGTGAAGGATGACAAGTCTGCACCACCCTCCAAGGAAGTATCACGACCTGCATCAGTTGCAGAAAGTGTAAAGGATGAATCTGAAAAACCTGGAAGTGTAACGGATGTTCAGTCAAAGGAGCCTTCCCGTCGTGAATCGGTAGCGGAAATTATTAAGCCAGAGAGCGTCAAGGATGATAAATCTGAACCAGTCTCCAAGGAAGTATCTCGACCCGGATCAGTTGTAGAAAGTGTGAAAGATGAGTCCGAGAAGCCAGGAAGTGTAAAGGACGAAAAGTCTGTAGAGCCTTCTCGCCGTGAATCGGTTGCAGAGAGTATTAAGCCCGAGAGTGTGAAGGATGACAAGTCTGCACCACCCTCCAAAGAAGTATCACGACCTGCATCTGTTGCAGAAAGTGTTAAGGATGAATCTGAAAAACCTGGAAGTGTAACGGATGTTCAGTCCAAGGAGCCTTCCCGTCGTGAATCGGTAGCGGAAATTATTAAGCCAGAGAGCGTCAAGGATGATAAATCTGAGTCAGTCTCCAAGGAAGTATCTCGACCCGGATCAGTTGTAGAAAGTGTGAAAGATGAGTCCGAGAAGCCAGGAAGTGTAAAGGACGAAAAGTCTGTAGAGCCTTCTCGCCGTGAATCTGTTGCAGAGAGTATTAAGCCCGACAGTGTGAAGGATGACAAGTCTGCACCACCCTCCAAAGAAGTATCACGACCTGCATCGGTTGCAGAAAGTGTAAAGGATGAATCCGAAAAACCTGGAAGTGTAACAGATGCTCAGTCTAAGGAGCCTTCCCGTCCTGAACTGGTAGCGGAAAGTATTAAGCCAGAGAGCGCCAAAGATGAGAAGTCTGTACCAGTCTCCAAGGAAGTATCTCGATCCGGGTCAGTTGCAGAAATTGTGAAAGACATGTCTGAAAAACCAGAAAGTGTGAAGGACGAAAAGTCTGTAGAGCCTTCTCGCCGTGAATCTGTTGCAGAGAGTATCAAGCCCGAGAGCGTGAAGGATGACAAGTCCTCACCACCCTCCAAGGAAGTATCACGACCTGCATCGGTTGCAGAAAGTGTAAAGGATGAATCTGAAAAACCTGGAAGTGTAACGGATGCTCAGTCTAAGGAGCCTTCCCGTCCTGAATCGGTAGCGGAAAGTATTAAGCCGGAGAGCGCCAAAGATGAGAAGTCTGTACCAGTCTCCAAGGAAGTATCTCGATCCGGATCAGTTGTAGAAAGTGTGAAAGATGAGTCCGAGAAGCCAGGAAGTGTAAAGGACGAAAAGTCTGTAGAGCCTTCTCGCCGTGAATCTGTTGCAGAGAGTATTAAGCCCGAGAGTGTGAAGGATGACAAGTCTGCACCATCATCCAAGGAAGTATCACGACCTGCATCGGTTGCAGAAAGTGTAAAGGATGAATCCGAAAAACCTGGAAGTGTAACGGATGCTCAGTCTAAGGAACCTTCCCGTCGTGAATCGGTAGCGGAAAGTATTAAGCCAGAGAGCGCCAAAGATGAGAAGTCTGTACCAGTCTCCAAGGAAGTATCTCGATCCGGGTCAGTTGCAGAAATTGTGAAAGACAAGTCTGAGAAACCAGAAAGTGTGAAGGACGAAAAGTCTGTAGAGCCTTCTCGCCGTGAATCTGTTGCAGAGAGTATTAAGCCCGAGAGTGTGAAGGATGACAAGTCTGCACCACCATCCAAGGAAGTATCACGACCTGCATCGGTTGCAGAAAGTGTAAAGGATGAATCTGAAAAACCTGGAAGTGTAACGGATGCTCAGTCTAAGGAGCCTTCCCGTCCTGAATCGGTAGTGGAAAGTATTAAGCCAGAGAGCGCCACAGATGAGAAGTCTTTACCAGTCTCCAAGGAAGTATCTCGACCCGGGTCAGTTGCAGAAAGTGTGAAAGACGAGTCTGAGAAACCAGAAAGTGTGAAGGACGAAAAATCCACAGAGACTTCGCGCCGTGAATCTGTTGCAGAGAGAATTAAGCCCGTCAGTGCGAAGGATGACAAGTCTGCACCACCCTCCAAAGAAGTATCACGACCTGCATCGGTTGCAGAAAGTGTAAAGGATGAATCCGAAAAACCTGGAAGTGTAACGGATGCTCAGCTTGAGGAGCCTTCCCGTCGTGAATCGGTAGCGGAAAGTATTAAGCCAGAGAGCGCCAAAGATGAGAAGTCTGTACCAGTCTCCAAGGAAGTATCTCGATCCGGGTCAGTTGCAGAAATTGTGAAAGACAAGTCTGAGAAACCAGAAAGTGTGAAGGACGAAAAGTCTGTAGAGCCTTCTCGCCGTGAATCTGTTGCAGAGAGTATTAAGCCCGAGAGTGTGAAGGATGACAAGTCTGCACCACCATCCAAGGAAGTATCACGACCTGCATCGGTTGCAGAAAGTGTAAAGGATGAATCTGAAAAACCTGGAAGTGTAACGGATGCACAGTTTAAGGAGTCTTCCCGTCGTGAATCGGTAACTGAAATTATTAAGACAGAGAGCGTCAAGGATGATAAATCTGAACCAGAGTCTAAGGAAGTATCTCGATCAGAGTCAGTTGTAGAAAGTGTGAAAGACGAGTCTGAAATGCAAGGAAGTGTGAAGGACGAAAAGTCCACAGAGCCTTCTCGCCGTGAATCGGTTGCAGAGAGTATTAAACCCGAGAGTGTGAAGGATGAGAAGTCTGCACCACCCTCCAAAGAAGTATCACGACCTGCATCTGTTGCAGAAAGTGTAAAGGATGAATCCGAAAAACCTGGAAGTGTAACGGATGCACAGTCTAAGGAGCCTTCCCGTCCTGAATCGGTAGCAGAAATTATTAAGCCAGAGAGCGCCAAAGATGAGAAGTCTTTACCAGTCTCCAAGGAAGTATCTCGACCCGGTTCAGTTGCAGAAAGTGTGAAAGACGAGTCTGAAATGCCAGGAAGTGTGAAGGACGAAAAGTCTGTAGAGCCTTCTCGCCGTGAATCGGTTGCAGAGAGTACTAAACCCGAGAGTGTGAAGGATGGCAAGTCTGCACCACCCTCCAAAGAAGTATCACGACCTGCATCTGTTGCAGAAAGTGTAAAGGATGAATCCGAAAAACCTGGAAGTGTAACGGATGCACAGTCTAAGGAGCCTTCCCGTCCTGAATCGGTAGCAGAAATTATTAAGCCAGAGAGCGCCAAAGATGAGAAGTCTTTACCAGTGTCCAAGGAAGTATCTCGAGCCGGATCAGTTGTAGAAAGTGTGAAAGACGAGTCTGAGAAACCAGGAAGTGTGAAGGACGAAAAGTCCACAGAGCCTTCTCGCCGTGAATCGGTTGCAGAGAGTATTAAACCCGAGAGTGTGAAGGATGAGAAGTCTGCACCACCCTCCAAAGAAGTATCACGACCTGCATCTGTTGCAGAAAGTGTAAAGGATGAATCCGAAAAACCTGGAAGTGTAACGGATGCACAGTCTAAGGAGCCTTCCCGTCCTGAATCGGTAGCAGAAATTATTAAGCCAGAGAGCGCCAAAGATGAGAAGTCTTTACCAGTGTCCAAGGAAGTATCTCGACCCGGATCAGTTGTAGAAAGTGTGAAAGACGAGTCTGAGAAACCAGGAAGTGTGAAGGACGAAAAGTCCACAGAGACTTCTCGCCGTGAATCTGTTGCAGAGAGTATTAAGCCCGAGAGTGTGAAGGATGACAAGGCTGCGCCACCCTTCAAGGAAGTATCAAGACCTGCATCAGTTGTAGAAAGTGTGAAAGACGAGTCTGAGAAACCAGGAAGTGTGAAGGACGAAAAGTCCACAGAGCCTTCTCGCCGTGAATCGGTTGCAGAGAGTATTAAACCCGAGAGTGTGAAGGATGAGAAGTCTGCACCACCCTCCAAAGAAGTATCACGACCTGCATCTGTTGCAGAAAGTGTAAAGGATGAATCCGAAAAACCTGGAAGTGTAACGGATGCTCAGTCTAAGGAGTCTTCCCGTCGTGAATCGGTAGCGGAAATTATTAAGCCAGAGAGCGTCAAAGATGAGAAGTCTCTACCAGTCTCCAAGGAAGTATCTCGACCAGTGTCAGTTGCAGAAAGTGTGAAAGACGAGTCTGAGAAACCAGAAAGTGTGAAGGACGAAAAGTCCACAGAGCCTTCTCGCCGTGAATCGGTTGCAGAGAGTACTAAACCCGAGAGTGTGAAGGATGACAAGTCTGCACCACCCTCCAAGGAAGTATCACGACCTGCATCGGTTGCAGAAAGTGTAAAGGATGAATCCGAAAAACCTGGAAGTGTAACGGATGCACAGTCTAAGGAGTCTTCCCGTCGTGAATCGGTAACTGAAATTATTAAGCCAGAGAGCGTCAAGGATGATAAATCTGAACCAGTCTCCAAGGAAGTATCTCGACCAGTGTCAGTTGTAGAAAGTGTGAAAGACGAGTCTGAGAAGCCAGGAAGTGTGAAGGACGAAAAGTCTGTAGAGCCTTCTCGCCGTGAATCGGTTGCAGAGAGTATTAAGCCCGACAGTGTGAAGGATGACAAGTCTGCACCACCCTCCAAGGAAGTATCACGTCCTGCATCTGTTGCAGAAAGTGTAAAGGATGAATCCGAAAAACCTGGAAGTGTAACGGATGCTCATTCTAAGGAGCCTTCCCGTCCTGAATCGGTAGCAGAAATTATTAAGCCAGAGAGCGCCAAGGATGAGAAGTCTTTACCAGTCTCCAAGGAAGTATCTCGACCCGGATCAGTTGTAGAAAGTGTGAAAGACGAGTCTGAGAAACCAGGAAGTGTGAAGGACGAAAAGTCCACAGAGACTTCTCGCCGTGAATCTGTTGCAGAGAGTATTAAGCCCGACAGTGCGAAGGATGACAAGTCTGCACCACCCTCCAAAGAAGTATCACGGCCTGCATCGGCTGCAGACGAAAAGTCCACAGAGACTTCTCGCCGTGAATCTGTTGCAGAGAGTATTAAGCCCGACAGTGCGAAGGATGACAAGTCTGCACCACCCTCCAAAGAAGTATCACGGCCTGCATCGGCTGCAGAAAGTGTTAAGTATGAATCTGAAAAACCTGGAAGTGTTACGGATGCTCAGTCTAAGGAACCTTCCCGTCCTGAATCGGTAGCGGAAGGTATTAAGCCGGAGAGCGTCAAAGATGAGAAGTCTCTACCAGTCTCCAAGGAAGTATCTCGACCCGGATCAGTTGCAGAAAGTGTGAAAGACGAGTCTGAAATGCCAGGAAGTGTGAAGGACGAAAAGTCTGTAGAGCCTTCTCGCCGTGAATCTGTTGCAGAGAATATTAAGCCCGAGAGTGTGAAGGATGACAAGTCTGCACCACCCTCCAAGGAAGTATCACGGCCTGCATCGGTTGCAGACAGTGTTAGAGACGAATCTGACAAACCTGGAAGTGTTACGCATGCTCATTCTAAGGAGCCTTCCCGTCGTGAATCGGTAGCGGAAATTATAAAGCCAGAGAGCGTCAAGGATGATAAATCTGAGTCAGTCTCCAAGGAAGTATCACGACCTGCATCGGTTGCAGAAAGTGTTAAAGACGAATCTGATAAACCTGAAAGTGTAACGGATGCTCAGTCTAAGGAGTCTTCCCGTCGTGAATCGGTAGCGGAAATTATTAAGCCAGAGAGCGTCAAAGATGAGAAGTCTCTACCAGTCTCCAAGGAAGTATCTCGACCAGTGTCAGTTGCAGAAAGTGTGAAAGACGAATCTGAGAAACCAGGAAGTGTGAAGGACGAAAAGTCCACAGAGCCTTCTCGCCGTGAATCTGTTGCAGAGAGTATTAAGCCCGAGAGTGTGAAGGATGACAAGTCTGCACCACCCTCCAAGGAAGTATCACGGCCTGCATCAGTTGCAGAAAGTGTAAAGGATGAATCCGAAAAACCTGGAAGTGTAACGGATGCTCAGCTTGAGGAGTCTTCCCGTCGTGAATCGGTAGCGGAAATTATAAAGCCAGAGAGCGTCAAGGATGATAAATCTGAACCAGTGTCCAAGGAAGTATCTCGACCCGGATCAGTTATAGAAAGTGTGAAAGACGAGTCTGAGAAACCAGGAAGTGTGAAGGACGAAAAGTCTGTAGAGCCTTCTCGCCGTGAATCTGTTGCAGAGAGTCTTAAGCCCGAGAGTGAGAAGGATGACAAGTCCTCAACACCCTCCAAGGAAGTATCACAACCTGCATCGGTTGCAGAAAGTGTAAAGGATGAATCTGAAAAACCTGGAAGTGTTACGGATGCTCAGTCTGAGGAACCTACCCATCCTGAATCGGTAGCCGAAAGTATAAAGCCAGATAGCGCCAAAGATGAGAAGTCTCTACCAGTCTCCAAGGAAGTATCTCGACCTGGATCAGTAGTAGAAAGTGTGAAAGACGAGTCTGAGAAACCAGAAAGTGTGAAGGACGAAAAGTCTGTAGAGCCTTCTCGCCGTGAATCTGTTGCAGAGAGTATTAAGCCGGAAAGTGTGAAGGATGACAAGTCCTCACCACCCTCCAAGGAAATATCACGCCCTACATCGGTTGCAGAAAGTGTAAAGGATGAATCTGAAAAGCCTGGAAGTGTTACGGATGCTCATTCTAAGGAGCCTTCCCGTCGTGAATCGGTAGCGGAAATTATAAAGCCAGAGAGCATCAAGGATGATAAATCTGAACCAGTCTCCAAGGAAGTATCTCGACCCGGATCAGTAGTAGAAAGTGTTAAGGATGAATCTGAAAAACCTGAAGTTGTTACGGATGTTCATTCTAAGGAGCCTTCCCGTCGTGAATCGGTAGCGGAAATTATTAAGCCAGAGAGCGTCAAGGATGATAAATCTGAGTCAGTCTCCAAAGAAGTATCTCGACCCGGATCAGTAGTAGAAAGTGTGAAAGACGAGTCTGAGAAACCAGGAAGTGTGAAGGACGAAAAGTCCACAGAGCCTTCTCGCCGTGAATCTGTTGCAGAGAGCATTAAGCCCGAGAGTGTGAAGGATGACAAGTCTGCACCACCCTCCAAAGAAGTATCACGACCTGCATCTGTTGCAGAAAGTGTTAAAGACGAATCTAAAAAACCTGGAAGTGTAACGGATGCACAGTCTAAGGAGCCTTCCCGTCCTGAATCAGTAGCGGAAATTATTAAGCCAGACAGCATCAAGGATGATAAATCTGAACCAGTCTCCAAGGAAGTATCTCGACCCGGGTCAGTTGCAGAAAGTGTTAAGGATGAATCTGAAAAACCTGAAGTTGTTACGGATGTTCATTCTAAGGAGCCTTCCCGTCGTGAATCGGTAGCGGAAATTATTAAGCCAGAGAGCGTCAAGGATGATAAATCTGAGTCAGTCTCCAAAGAAGTATCTCGACCCGGATCAGTAGTAGAAAGTGTGAAAGACGAGTCTGAGAAACCAGGAAGTGTGAAGGACGAAAAGTCTGTAGAGCCTTCTCGCCGTGAATCAGTTGCAGAGAGTCTTAAGCCCGAGAGTGAGAAGGATGACAAGTCCTCACCACCCTCCAAAGAAGTATCACGACCTGCATCGGCTGCAGAAAGTGGTAAAGACGAATCTAAAAAACCTGGAAGTGTAACGGATGCACAGTCTAAGGAGCCTTCCCGTCCTGAATCAGTAGCGGAAATTATTAAGCCAGACAGCATCAAGGATGATAAATCTGAACCAGTCTCCAAGGAAGTATCTCGACCCGGGTCAGTTGCAGAAAGTGTGAAAGACGAGTCTGAGAAACCAGGAAGTGTGAAGGACGAAAAGTCCACAGAGCCTTCTCGCCGTGAATCTGTTGCAGAGAGTATTAAGACCGAAAGTGTGAAGGATGACAAGTTCTCACCACCCTCCAAGGAAGTATCACAACCTGCATCGGTTGCAGAGAGTGTAAAGGACGATTCTGAAAAACCTGGAAGTGCTAAAGGTACTGATCCCGAGAGCGACAAAGACGATAAATCTCTTCCAGTCTCAAAAGAGGTATCACGGCCCGGATCAGTAGTAGAATGTGTGAAAGACGAGTCTGAGAAGCCTGAAAGTGTGCAGGTTGATAAGTCTAAGGAACCATCTCGTCGTGAGTCCGTTGCAGAAACATCAGTCCGAGCAACAAAGGAACCGGAATCTGTTGGTGATAGCAAAGAAGATTTGGACACTGAACACAAAAGTAAAATTGAATCGTCCGACGGAGTTCTGGACGTTAAATTGCTAAGTGAATCAAAGGATATTATAAACCTAGAAATTGTTGCCCAAACAGCGTCTTCCTTTATTGACAAAGCAATTAGCTACTTCGAGCATGCTGATGTGGTGCAAAAGAAAACTGATGAGGCTATAAGCGATTTTGAGACAGCATCTAGCCCCGTTGACGTTGCCGAGGGTGTCTTTGCACATATAGAATCTGAGAAGACACAAAGTGTTAAAGACGAGATTTCTAAAGAACCTTCTCGTCGCGAGTCGGTAACTGAAGGCTCAAATGCAGAGAGTCCAAAAGATGTAAGATCCCCAACCGAAACGGCATCTTCACCAATTGACGAAGCTAAAGATTTCACAGTTTTCAAAGATATTAAAAAAGAGACACTTGTGCTATCTTTGGAATCGAAGGGAGATTTCCCAACTCTTTCAAGCCCTATTGAAGTTGCCGCAGGTGACTTTAGCTCCGCAATTGAAATTTCTACATCTGAGCCTCTTGCACCATCAAAGCCGGCAGAACTTTCTGAAGTTAGTACATCAAGAACTGCTTCCAGCCCAGTTGATGAAGCACCTCGTTCCCCTATTGAAAAACCAGAAAAGGAAAAATCAGAGGAGGAAAGTGTAAAGTCTCCACCAGCTTCAAAAGAAGTATCACGGCCCGAATCTGTGGCAGGCAGTATAAAAGACGAATCTGAGAAGCCCGAAAGTGTTCAAAGTGAAAAGTCCAAGGGCGCATCCCGACCTGAGTCTGTTGCAGAGAGTATCAAGCCCGAGAGTCCAAAGGATGACATTTCTCTGCTAACCTCTAAAGATGTAAAAGATGAATCTCAAAAGCCAGAATCTCTTACCGCGAGTAAAAAAGCAGAAAGCCCAAAGGATGACAAGTCTCTACCCCCCTCTAAAGAAGTATCGCGATCCGGTTCCGTTGTAGAAAGCCTTAAGCATGAATTAGAAATCCCTGAAGCCGTGACGAGCGAAAAGTCAGGTGAGCATTCCCGACGGCAATCTGCTGTAAAGCCTGAGAGCTTTAAAGATGAAAAGTCGCCAGTCCCTTCTAAGGAGCCATCGGAGACGGCTTCGTCACCTATTGACGAAGCACCTAAGGAGCCTTTAATATTAAACATATCATCTGCTGAAATTAAAGGAACTTATCCTACACTATCCAGTCCCGTCGATGTTGCTGAGGGCGAGTTTTCACATGCAATTTCAGGTGGAATTGAAGAAGACAAACCTGCTGAGCAGACTAAAGTTGCCGCGATTCTTACGGCGTCTAGCCCGGTAGATGAGGCAGTTGATATTTCGGAATCACTTAAAACCGTTGAGGAACATATCATTGAAGATAAGCTGCAATCAGTTAGTGAACTTTTAACCAAGAAGGTAGAAACAGTAATTGATACAGTCAGCGAGAAAGTTGAAAGCGCTAAAGATTTCGTCGTAGAATCCTTAGAGCAAATAACCAAAGAAAGTTCAAAATCTCTAACTGAACTTGAATCTTTTAAAGATTCCAAGATCTCTGAGGTTTCCAAGACAGTAACTTCACTTGCCGAGACGGTTCAAACTATTGCGGATGAGAAATCACAAGCAGTTGAACACATTTCGGATGTACTATCTAAACAGTTAGGACAGACTGATTCGGTTGTGGAATCTATTTCAGATGTGCCAGAAGATACGAGTGCGAAGGGAAGCCTAGACTTAAGTGGTTTCTCGGAGCTTCGAGAAACGCATATTACCACAGTTGATTCCCCCGAATTCACAGTTACAATCTGTGAGCGTGATGAGAGTGTACTTCATGATATCAAAGAAGAAGACGAAGAACATAGATTCTCGCCACCAACTGAAAAAGGTTCAATAACAATGGATCAACCAATGCGTCCACTTTCACCACGTGAAGAAGAAGTCGCGAAGATAGTCGCTGATGTGGCCAAAGTTTTGAAGTCCGATAAGGATATCACTGACATCATACCCGATTTTGATGAAAAACAGTTGGAAGAAAAACTAAAAACCACAACTGAAACTGAAACTGTACTTGAAAGCGTAGATTCACACAAAATGGGTACACCTGAAGCTACCTCGGGTAAGTTAACTCCCGGAAAGGATTTGGCTATGGATGAAAATATATTTGAAACGAAGATAATGAAAGTGGATATTGAATCAGAGAAGTCTTCGCCTGATCAAAAGTCTGGCCCGATATCAATTGAGGAAAAGGATAAAATTGAGCAGTCCGAAAAGGCTCAATTGCGCGAGGGGGCCGCAAAAGCAGCTGCCGTCGAACTAGCTAAGGATATTTCTCGGCCAGAGTCAGCCACCAGTCAGCTGGGCACCCTAGAATCATTACCATCTCGCCCCGAGTCCGTAGCCAGTCAGAAAGACGAGACGAAGCTGGAACAGTCAACTGTGGTGCCCAAGGATACATCACGGCCCATCTCTGTGGCCAGTTCGAAGGAAGCTGAACAAAAGGGTGAAAAGTCGCCAATGTCACCAAAAGATATCTCACGGCACGAGTCAATTGTAAGCCAGGTAAGCGAACAAGATGCCAGCGCAATTGGTTCAGACTCTAGACGCGAATCTGTGTTGTCTGCTGCCAAGGATGCACAGGAGGTTTCCCGCCCGGAATCGGCTGAAATTAAGGAGACAGAAGCTTCGCGACCAGCATCAAGTGCCAGCCAGGTTAGTGCCAAGGATGAGGAGACTTCCGACTCTCAACATGGTTCGATTCTGGTCTCGACAATCGAGAGCAAAATGGAAGAAAAATCAAGCGAATCCACATCCACTTCCAAATCAATTACAAATCAAACTCATCTAAAAGAAGAGTCCATAAGCGAGTCATTGAGTAGCAGCTTAAAAGTGGAGGATAGCTCGCGACGTGAATCATTATCAAGCCTTCTAGCCGACAAGGAGGCTACCAAATCAAGCAGCACCAGTGTCAAGGAGGAAACTGAACGTGTCACAAAAATTGTGGAGAAAATAACAACATCACAATTGGAGGAGTTGCTTACTCAATCTGAAGAGTGCTCCTCGGAGTCGATAGTTAGCGAGATTCAAACGACGAGCATCCCAAGTGCCAAGCACCAGAAGCCAAGTGATCAAAGCACAAGCAAGGATATTACAAGCAGTACACATAAGGAATCGGTCAAAGACAGTCTCAAGGAGACAGTAGCCGAGTTCTTGGCTACAGAAAAAATTGTTTCCGCTAAAGAAACCTTCATAGCTGAGGCCACCAAAACTGCGGAAGAATCTTTAAAGAAGGTGTCTAGTGTGAGCTCTTCTCAAAAAGCCTTGTTTGTCGGCACAGACGAGTCGCGGCGGGAATCGCTGCTCAGCCACACAAGTGAGAGTCGACAAACGCACAGCGATCCTGAAGAGGATAGTGATGACGATGGACATGCCAGTCTAAAAGAAGGTCGATCCAAGTCCATTGCCACCATCATGATGACCAGCATCTACAAGCCGTTCGAGGAGACCGAAACAATTGCAACCGTTAAGGAGGATGAGGAACATGACGAACATGATCAGACAGACATTGAGACAAAAACCACAACATCTTCCACAACAGAAACAACCACTAAAAAGACAACACTACTGCAGTCGAGCGAGCAGAGCAGCAGCACCACAAAGAGCAGCTCGACCGACTCTAAAATCAAAATCGAATCCATCACACTAACACAGACAGAAACACAAGCTGAGCAAGCAATGGATGGCACAGACCGCAAGACACCGCCTACGGCACCAGTCAGCCCAAGCGTGAAGCCAGTGAACACCACAAGCACAGCTACAGGCACAGCCACAGGCACTGGCACAGCGCCTGGCAGTGGGTCCAGTTGTGTGAAGAGCGAGTCTAGTGCTGCTAGCATTGCATCGACATCGGGTCCATTGTCCCCCAAGGACATCAGTGGTAAGTCAAGTCCGGGCGCCCTAACATCGGAAAGTCAATCCATACCAACACCGTTCGGACGTGAATCGCACACAGAGACGCCAGAGTCATCGCCCAAGCCCACATCGCCTTTCCCACGCGTCAGCAAGGACGAGCTCCAATCTCTAGGTGTAACAGCGGAACCTGATGAACACATCGAGATTGGCGCCGATTCCAGCGAGTTTCTTCCAGAGCTGCATGAGCTGCGGGGCATTGAGAGCACTACAGGACTAAGTGACAGCACCGAAAAGATTATAACGACAACCATAACCACTGTGACCAAGGTCATCTCTGCCGATGGCAAGGAGATTGTGACTGAGCAAAAGACAGTTACCACAACAGACAGCTCAGAGCCGGACAGCGAGAAGGTAGTGGTTACTACAACCCGCACAACCAGCGAGAGCGAGAGAAGCGAACGCGAACGCGACCAGATGCTGCCCAAAGAAGTGGCCATGCTGCGTGGCATTTACCGTTCTGGTACACCAGCGAGCGATGATGAGCGACTTGCTGGTGGCATCAGTGATGATGAGTTGCCCGGCTCACCACGCAGCGCTAGCTATGATCTGCAGCGGTCCAGCTCTGGCATTAGCAAGCGCTCTGATCTAGATGCCGATGACAGTCAGGACGATATACCGCCGCAGTATGGTAGCGAAGAGCATTCAACAGCACGCGCCATTCTGCCGCAACGCACTGCCGATCCGATGGCAACCTCGTTCTATGGAGCGCTACCCGATAGCTTCGATGCGAAGCCCAGCACTGAACCGATACCAATTCGAGGCGCTGTGCTAATGACCTATACAGACTCGCCGCCAGCCAGTCAGTCATCGGAGAGCGTGGAGAGCACCAGCCAAACCTGGGCCGGACACAAGTTCCTCGATGAGGCAGACAAGGACTTCCAGAAGGCACTTGAGGAACATGTGCAGGCGCGTGGCGCCGAAGTGATGTCTTCCGTGACCGCCAAGTATTCCTACTCGCCCTCCAAGGCCGAGGAGGTCGAACAAATTGTCAGCAGCACTGCAGAGCGACAGCGCTTCCCTCTCAGCGATGTCCAGAAGGTGCGCAGCGGCGAAAATCTATTGGCTAGCTTTATCAGCTCAAGCCCAGCTAGCAGTACTGTACCCACAACTCTCACTGCAACAACAATCGCATCAGCTGCCACTGTAACTGCAACAGCAACAGCAACAGATGCAACAGCAACAACAGCAACGACTGCAACAACAACAACTAGTGGCAGCACCAGCAGCACTAGCGGCACTCTGCCCAAGGATCGCTTAGAGGAGTGGGGCAAACCACTCGGTCTACCATCACCAGCACCATTGCCGGTCGAGGGTGGCGATATTCGCACTACACCTAAGAAGGAGCGTCGCTTGGTGGCCACCAAGACGCGTCTTAATAATGAGAAGAATTTGCGCAAACGTAGCGAGTCACCCAACAAAGCAAAGAAACCAGCACCGGTCTACGTAGATCTGACCTATGTGCCGCACAATGGCAACTCCTACTATGCTCATGTTGACTTCTTCAAGCGTATCCGTGCCCGCTATTATGTCTTCTCCGGTACCGAGCCCAGCCGTCAGGTCTACGATGCTTTGCTGGAAGCCAAGCAAACCTGGGAGGACAAGGAGCTGGGTAAGTTATTTATTCATTATAAGTACAATGCACCTGGGTGACACAGAAATCTCTTCAATCGAAATTCCAAACCAATTTAAAATCATAGATAGCATAAAATTCGCTTTGGTTTTGTTTCGAATGGCATAATACTTATGAATTTTATTTTATTAGGTTTCATTCTATATTTTACATAAAATCTAGTCAAATACAGCAGTTATCCAAAAATGAAATTATTATTTGAATAATTTTTAACTTACATTTAGTAACAGATATTGAATTTACACATCAAAAATACAAATAAAACTATATCATTTAGTGTATTAACTTGATCAAGAGTAACATTTCGACATTTCACAGAGGTGACCATCATACCGACCTATGATACCGATGTGCTGGGCTATTGGGTGGCCGAGAATGAGGAGCTGCTTGCCAAGCACCGCATCGATCTGTCGCCATCGGCTTCACGCTGCACAATTAACTTGCAGGATCATGAGACTTCGTGCTCCGCATATCGCTTGGAGTTCTAGGCCACGGGCTTGTTTATTGCATTTGACGATGACGACTAAAAGCTACTGCAACCACTTTTTTTCAAATCTCTTTCACCACACAGACAGCGGTTTGAGGTGGCCCCATTGTGAACCTTAAGGGGCAACAACTACAACTAAAACAACAGCAACAGCAACAACAACAGCAACCAACACACAGAAAAACGACGACTTTCAATTTTTGAGCTTAACTATGACGACTTTCACAAAATTTCAACACCTAAAAACACAACGAAAACGACACCAACAACTAAAAAGTGAAAACAAAGCTTGACACAAAAACGACAACAACAAAATGCAATACGCAAAAAAAAAACCGTGCGGTACAGAAACGCTAAACAAAGAGGGAGAAAAAAGGAACAAAGAGCTGAATATGGCGGAGTAACGGGTCACTTGAGTGACGCCATTTTGTTTGCCAATGCCGTCTATTTGCGCTTTTTGCGAATTTATTTCAAAATGCAGCAAGCAAGGTAATTAATCAATATATGTTTTCAACAAATTAATTACTAAACAATGCAAAAGAAAATTACAAAAAAAAAAACTACCAAAGAAGCGCTACGTGCCACAATACAAAAGAACACAATTACCAAAAAAATGTATCGTATAAATATATAGTATATATACGTATTTGTTGCTTTAATCAAATGTCAAGCTACCTTGCATAGTTATCCAAAGATCAAAATTGTTTTCAAACCCGCATAGCTAAAATATACAAAACGAAAACAAGAAAATCAAAAAAAAAAAAATAAATAAAAAATATATAAAAAAAATGGAAAAGAAAATGAAAATGCTAAGTATATTACAAATATTATTCATGTTTATTGTATTAGTAAAACTTTTATGAAAAACTATTGAAGAATCCCATATATTTGAATTTAAAATATATATATATATATATATATATATATATATATATATATATATATATACATATATATATATTTATTTATATATTTATGTATATATAAACACATATGTATGCGTATGTCAAGAATTGGCAACATCATATAGTACCACTACTAGTATTTATTTAGCTATACAAAAGCTATACACGCCTCATTCATAAAGACACGCTGAATGTACCATGCAATCAATAAATAAAAATGTTTGCCTTTATATTTTTGTTTGAAATAGAAAAAATAAAAACAAATGCACTTAAATTGTTGAAGCATTAATACAAGCTTTTAAATAAAAACTTAGCTAACAACATGAATTTAACATGGGTCACTACTGTGAACTCGTAATATAAAATCTAATTTTATCCAAAGTCTAATGGAGCATCTACCACTAAATATGGAACAAAGCAAAATAATACTAACCTTATATATATGTGCCTCCCCAAAAATGCAAGCAATGAACAGAAGTCTATAAAATGAAATACTAAATATAAAATAATAAAGACAATTAAATGAATAATTTGATTTGAAATTTTCTATTTTGAGTTGATCTTTTGTTTAACATATGATTCATGCAGACAGTTGATAGACTTACTAAAATACCAATGGGCAAAAGTAATATACAATGCAAACAAGATTTAACTATATCTGTTAAACGATGAAAATAATATACGTACACTTATATAGAACAAAAAGAAATAATACCAAAGTCTGGCAGAAATCGAATGAAGTGAAAACGTCGCGTTCTTGGGCAAGATATGGGTCTGTGTCTTAATGTTGGATGTCATGGGGTTGATATATGCTACATACTCAACTGAAGTAGGTATGTTAAGTGAGATTAACTCTGAACGATAAATGATGATTGCTGTTGTTGGTGATAAAGTTGATAATGCGATTATGTTAATGCTGATATTAATATGTAAGGTTTACGAGGGTCTGATTGGGATAGCATGGGTTTGGGGTAGGGTGTCATTAAACCAGATATTGTGACACAAAACTAAATGATGAACACAAAGTGAATGAAGGTTATTTTTCTATATTTTTTTTTTACTTTTTCATAGTCATAGAATAACAAATTTCCCAAAGAACAAAAAAAATAAATGTTTAATGAGAAACCAATTATAAATGATAACAAAAACTAATAATAAAAATGGCACACGCAACATTTAAAAAATAATAAATTATACATTATTATATGTTTATATGAAATCAATATTTAAAAGAAAAAAAAAAAACAGAAAATTTTGAAGCCACTGAGAAAAATAGTCAGACAGTCCAAAAAAAAGTAAAGACAAAATGAAATTAAACATATTGAAATACTCATTTTCGATTGAATTACAATTAATATTTGACATACAGACTTTTTAGGATATACATACATATATAAAACAGATCTTATCGAATAAATTCAATAAATATATATTATTCTTTGCATTTTTAACAACTACAATATATGCAGATACATATATATTTAAATATATATATATTTTTCTGTTGCTTTTTATACAACAACAAGAATAACCAGGCGCAACAGTCAACAAACAACTGGCTACCGTCCAGTCTACAAAAGTTTGATAAGCAACAAGCAAAAATTTAAAATTAACAAAATTTAATATAAAAACATATACATATACAAACCATTTAAGCAATTAATAAATATCGATTATATACTTTTCAAAAGATCCAACCGCGCGTGTGATAGTTGTCTTTTTTTTACAAATTATATTTTTAATATATTATATTTGATTGGTTTGCTTTATTTGTGCTTGAAAAAATTAAACATGAACAGTCTATAATTAAAGCAGGTGCAAAGTAAATACTTTACATATTTATGTATGTATGTATATGATATAAAGTGATAAAAAAGAAAATTATTTTATGACTACTAGCAAACAGCTTTAGACAGGGATTTACAAATTATAAACAAAATTTTAAATATAAAACATATAATTGAATGACATTGAAAAGTTCTAAACAAAGTAAATGGTACAAGCACCGTAAACATTTTTTTTAATAAATAATTAAATCACAAAAAAAAAGATATATATTTTAGTTAAGAAAATGCTTACACTATTCAATTCATCAATTTTTTATGAACTAAAGTTAAAAAATTTATGTACCTAAATATTTTCTTTCAATTTCAAACTCTCAATATAATTGAAATGCAATTTGTGGCAATATTAATTAAATTGGAGTTTGGGAATCTTATGTTTTTTTTTTTTTAATTTAACTGAAAACAAGTAATAATGCAATAGTGAGGAAATCTAGAGATGAACACACAATATAAAGGTCAAATATTTATTATGAGATGTTTTGTGTGAGTTCATGGATAATATCCTCAGGAATACAAATTGTAGACTATTTAAATATGAGTGTTTTATTGGTATATTAAACAATTTCAAATCCAACTTCAAAAACTTTTGCGCAGAAATGAAGAAAAACAAAATGAAAATAAATGCTAGAATAAACTTATAGACATACTTATACACACAAATATATATCCAAATGCATAAGCGACCTATATACACCATAAACTTGAATGTTTGAATGTTTGCTTGTAAGCTCTAAGTAAATATTTTCAAACCAATTCAATTATTTGCTTTACATAAGTTGAGTCGAAAACACGGAAACTGTGTTACAGTTTATGAAATAAACCAAAAATCAAAAAAGAAAAGAAAAACAAAAAACATTTAAATGTGTTAAGTTTCTTGCAAATGTTTTTAATGTTTATTGTTCATTTGTCAACTGTGTAATGTATTTATTATGTATCCATTGCCTTATCCAAAGCGTAACAAACGTAACGTATTAACTATATATGAGAGTACCCCTAAACTATAAAATCAAAAAAAAAAAAGAACAATTAAAAATATAACAAAATAATAAGAAGTAAACGTCGAATATGTTTGTTGAATTTGCTTCATGAATTTGCTTTTACTTATTAGCAGCTTCGATTTAAATCAAATATACCTAAATTTATATGCATGCATACAGATATATTCGTGTATCTAAATATGACTACTATATAATCTTTATTAAAAGCATGCAGAAAATTGTTACAAGAAACGAAAAAAAAGGCATAAAGCTAAAAATAAACGAAAGCAAACATAAACACACACAAACAAGAAGCTAAAATATAATATCGCTAAACAGGGCTAATGCAGTGGGACATATTCGATAACCGCGAGTACAGATATGAACAGATAGAGATTAAATCAAATCAATTGCAAGATACAAATGCGTGCACAAAGCTACACAAATAGTGCTGCTAACTAAGGAGAAAGGCAGAGTAAAGGGATCGAAACGATGGCCAGCACCAAACAAATTAACACACACCCCCACCGGATAGGGAAGGGAATGATTAAACTCCAAGGGATGCATATTTTAACATTTAAAAATCTAAAAAAAAAAAAAGAAGAAAAATGCAAAAAAAAAATTACATATATGTATTACATTTTATGAAAAAGTCAAATCAAGCTTATCTCAAAAACTATTTCCAAAAACAAAAAAGTCTAAAAATTATAATAAAGGTATTTATGTGAAATTCAAATGTGTTTTATTTCTATTTTGATTCAGGGTTCAATTCAAGTTTCTTTCAGCTTAATATTAATACTTGTACATTTCGAATACAAAGTCTACAAATTTGAAATGTAATTCAAATGCATTAAGTGCTTGACGCCCCACCCAAACCCGTTGCAGTGAATATGCGTAAATGGGTAATTGTTCTTGGCACCAGGAATAACTTGGCTCGCCTTTTTTCTGTCAAATTTGATATATGCGCAACCAGCATTTTAGCTTGTTGACAATAAAGTTCTTTAATGCACATTAAATATGATTGATAAGCGCCTGGACAGCTCAGCAAGTTGGTCTCAAATTCTCAAAGTTCAGTCGTCAAGCTGACCTCCGCCTTTACAGTACGTTATTTATTTAAACAAAGGTATTGCATTTGAAGAACAGCTGCTGCCAGTGTATCCAGGAATCGGTTGCTAATTCAGCCAAATTTTAATTATGATTCCAGATAAATATAATATAATCGATTACCATTCTCTTGCATCGCAATTAAATGATAAGGCATTATCTTTCAAATAAAAGCGACACTCTTCCATGAAACCATACTCAATCATACGGCATGGATATTTTGGACGCATTGCTGCCACTGCATCGTGTCTGTCAACTGTGCAACCTGTGGCAGTGGCGAGTAGATACTTCATTTACACGGAAGCTACAATTTTCACGGTGGCTGCAATTCTACGGCTGTGTGGTATTGATGCTGTCCAGCGGATACTTGTTGTACGACCTGTTTAATGACATTCCCACAGCGGGTGCGGATGTGGATGCAGAAATGGATGCCGATTCCAATCAGAAGCGCAATATTGGGTACACTGTTGACTTCATACAGCTGGTGGGCATACGTGTGGCACATGTAACGGCGCTTCTGGAGGCACTGTGGCAGCGTCAAGCTCAGAGCCGCTTCTTTACCGAGGTGCGCGAGATTGATCACAAATTTGCCAGTGCCCTGCATCTGGACGTGGACAATGGCCAACTGCGCCGTCGAATGATTCGACGTGCTATGTGGATCCTCTCCGGTTATGTGATCAGTCAGGGCTTCATTCTGTTGACCAAAATGCTTGCGTCTGAAGGCCACTTTGTTATATATTGGCTGTGCTATTTGTTGCCGCTGCTGGTTTGTGGTGTGCGCTATTTTCAGATCTACACGGCCATCCTCATTGTCCAGCAGCGTCTGGAGATGCTGCAGCGCATGCTAGAGTCATTGCAGCTGTCAGAGTCGGAGCCGCAGAAGCCATATGTCTGCATGAGCATTAAGGAGCAACTCGAAATGGAGGCGGACGCAGCCGGCTGCATGCAGCGTCTTTTGTCCGCCAGGGTGCTATATCAACGGATTTGGATGCTGGTCTCTCACCTGAATAGCTGCTATGGCTTATCCATGCTAATCAATTTGGGCAACGATTTTCTGGCGATTACCTCCAACTGTTATTGGATGTTCTTGAACTTTCGCCAGTTTACTGCCTCACCCTTTGATTTTCTGCAAATTGTGGGAAGCACCGTGTGGTCGGCACCGCATCTGGTCAACGTCCTCGTTCTGGCTCTAATGTGCGAGCGTGCCGCCTATTTTGTGAGTGGCAGTGGGCGTGGCAGCTGGATGTTATCTGTAACTGAAATCGTTGTCGTTTTATTTTTTTGTTCTCCTTCCAGACGACGCGTTTGGCTTTGAGTCTGCATCACATCCGCGTGGATCTGCAGAATGAACTCCACAATGCACTGGTAAGTCGATCATCTTTCGATTATACTTCGCACAGAGTCCATCGACTTATATTGCTTTACAGATCACACAGTTCTCACTGCAACTACTGCATCAGCGACTCCAATTCAGCGCCGCCGGTTTCTTCAACGTCGACTGCACGCTCCTCTACACAGTAAGTAGGCCTAGCCCAGGAGCGGCGACATGTTCTAAATATTTCCATTAACCATTACCTTTTCCAGATTGTTGGAGCCACAACAACCTATTTGATCATCCTGATACAGTTCCACATGAGCGAGAGCAGCAACAGAGGTTCGGCTAGCGGATAAAGTTCATTATAAAATCTGAAATAAATCACAAATAAATCTGAAAATCTGGTTAAGCCTCGAATATTGAAAAATCATGAATGCACCTCATAACCTGGATGAATGTAGTTCTAAAGCCTCAAACCCCATATGGTATATATATTGTGGATCAGCATCAATATAGCTAAGTCAGTTCCTTCGTCAGTCCGTCCCAAATCAAGATTATTTTATTCGATTTTATATTTAATATTTATAACTTTCCAAATAATAAAAGCCGGAGACGAAGAGCACAACTCATAGCCCAAAACGTTTTTTTAATTTGCGTATCATACAATCAGCAAGCGCAAGAGTTTTCTTTACAGATATATATGCATGCTGGGGTCCTTACCCTGGGATTCCATGTTGTGTTCGAAATTCACTGAAGTAAGCACGATTAGTTTAATATAAAAACAAATTTGAAATGTAAAACAATTGCAAAGCTCTGTCGATTTTGCTAACGAATTTCACTTTGAATACTTTCCAAAATGCTATGTAATATTACATTATTACATATTACAATATTACATTATTACAATATTAGGTTGTCAAATTCCGGGGATCGGATGTTCGTCTTCACATGATCTGGAAAACTGCATCACCCAGCTAAGCAAGAAGAGCTAAACAGGTTTTATCGTCTTCGCAAATATCATCCTTGCAATAACATTATTTTATTTTTAAAATTATATATCTTTGAAAACCAAAAGGATGTTCGTACAAGAGCTCAATATCCGATTGATTGCTCTTGACAGCTGGCCAATTTCATTTTTTAGTAAATATTTAATGTGTATATTGCATTCTATAATTAAAAAAAAAAAAAAAAAAAACAATAACATGTGGGATCTTATCTAATCTGAGCACGCATAGCTATACTGCTGGGAATCTCGATGTTGTTTAGCTGCAGCAGCTTCACCAGATTGCGCACGAAGTCCAGTGAGACCTTGAGCTCGTCGTCGGCTTGCAGGCGCTCGTAGAGATCGATGGCACCCTCGTAGTTGTTGTTCTTGGCGAACTGAGCCAGCAGCATATCATAGATCCGTTGCTCATCGATGGTGCGCTGCAAACCGCGAACGCCCCGCGCCAAGCGGATCAGTGTACGTATGGCGCCCTCCTGGCCGAGATGTTCGCAGTTTTTGAGCAGCAGTTCGTGGTTGAGTCGAAACTCTGGATTGATAATGAGCCGACGCAGCTGGGTTTCAGTGCCGGATTCGGCTAGCGCCAGCAGCAGGGCGCTGTTCATGTTGGCATCACCATGGACTCGACTCACAGTCGCCGTAACCGAGCCCAGATGCTGTTGCGCCGACTTGATTGTTGTGCCCGGAAAGCGGGCCAGTTCCGTCTCATCACCATTGCTCAACTTCACAAGCAGCGACAGCATCTCAAACTGCAGAGGTGTATGCTTGAATCGCGTAGCCAATCGCTGAAACTCGGACACGGCTTCATCCAAATTGCCGCGGAGCAGCCACTCGCGCACCACCGGACCCAGGAGCGCATTGTGCGCCTGACAGTAGCCAAGTTTCCTCAAGAATTCGAAAGTTTCCAAGCTGAGACTTGTCTCGGTATTCAGATTTGCCCTTACAGCCAGTTGGGCCACATTGTTGAGCAGCTGCCACACGTTCTTGATCACATAGTCGCCGCCGTTGACTCGCTGCTGCAGGGCGCGCTGCTGCAATAGCTCCTTGGCCGCATCCAGCTGATTCTCATGCACCAGCAGAGAAGCGTAGTCAATCAGCTTATGCTCATCCAACTGGAAACCTGCATTGACCAGAAGGAAACGTCACTTTTGGCTTCTTTTTGGATTATCCAAGATCTAGACAAGTGGATGGTCGGAAGAGTCAAACTTTCGTGTATTTACTCACCCGGATAGGTTTGCTGTATGCGCTGCAGAGTTTGATTTGCCCGGCGCAGATCTTTCCGCTTGATGTGCAGCTCAAAGATGGAGGCCAGCATACCCGGACTAGTCTGGACGTGTAGCGACTCACATTTCGCTAGCAATTCGAGTGCGCGCTCAAGGCGATTGTCGCGCACGCTAAGTTGAAGCAGACGCCGGAGGACGCCGCGTGTGTTCAGCTGCTTGGCCTCCAGTTCGATGAGATGGCACTCAAGCTCATCCAGCGACATGTCACGCGGATGCTTGATGAAGCCACCACTTGCCAAACTATTGTCCATTGCTGGTGGCAGCGTGAGCTCCGTATTGCGCATCTTTTGCAGCGTGCTTCCGATCGATTGGCGGATGACGGCATCGCTGCTGCTGTTAACTATGCTGAGCAGCGTCTCGGCAGCAGCTGGAGACAGCTGCAGTTGCAGGCGTTGCAGTTCGTGTAGGAAGCGCAACAGTGCCGCCGGCTCCATACGCAGACGTGTCTGTGGCGCACACATCTGCAGCAGCAGGGCGCCTACGAAATCCTCCTGTCGTTGTAGCGATCGCTGCTGCAGCGCCTGCGTCAGCTTGGCAAATATCTCATAACGCTTGTTGGCACGCACATTAACGGCGAGCGCGGCCAAGGGTTGCAGAAGCTGCACCAGCTGCAGACGGGTCGGATAGCGCTCGAGAAGATCGAGAGCTGCCTGCATTTGCTGCTGCTGCAGCAGCTGGCCAAGCACATAGATTAGCGACTGGGAAGCGCGTATGCCAATCGTGTCGAGTTTTTGCAGTGCCTGCAGCGGCTGCTGCAGCGTCTGCCACAGATTGGGCAGCACATAGACGCACAGCGTTGACTCATCGCATTCAACGCCCAGTCGCTGCATCTCGGCCAGCAGACGCAACATTCCGTTCTCGCCGTCGCGCTTGTGCTGCTCCAGCAACAGTGGCCAGAAGTAATGGGGACGCAGTGGCTCGCCGGCTTCACGCAACGCCTCCAAGCAGGCCAAAGCCAACGATGGCTGACGACGCAGCGCCAACTCAGTCAGCAGCTCCAGCGCTCGTCTATTTTGGCCACGTTCACGCAGCTGGGTGGCAAACTGCAGCATCTGCTGGAGGGGTGTTCGGGCCCGAAACAATTCCAGCAGCAGCAGCGACGCATATCCATCAATGTTCTGGTTCTCATTGTAACTTGGCGCCGGTAGCATTCCAATCAGCTGTATGACCAGTTGCGCCTGGTCACGGTGCAGCAGCTGGATGCATATACTGTTTATGGCCGGCGGTACATCGCCACCATGCACATATTCTGCCGGCAGCTCACTAACCAATTGCTGCATCAGCTGGACATCCTGGACCTGGCTACTCAAGACGGCTCGCAGCATTTGCAGCAGCTGCGGTGCATGGAAACTGCCGGCATGTTGGCGCAACAATTCGCGTCCTTTGTCCAGCTCACCATTTTCGATGTAGGCCACAAAGCAAAGCGATTGGGTGGTGGGATTGGGCGTTATGCCAGCGGCCCGCATACTGCTCAGCACTGAATCGGCGCCGGGCAGGTCTCCGCTCCGTGCATGACCCAGCAGCAATGCATGGAAATTGCTTTCGGTGAGCGGAAAATTGCACTGGCGCATCTCATTAAGCAGTTCGGTGGCCTGACGCATGTTACCAGTGGCGCCGGCCACGTCCAGCAGTGCGCTGTAGAGCGCCGCATCCGGCGCTCCATTATAGATGGCAATTTCGGCGAGCAGCGTGCGATGATCAGGCAACGGTAGCTGGTTCTGCTGCAGCATCTGAAGCTGCGTGTGGTAGTGCGATAACGTTGGCTGCTCCACTCGCAGCAGTTGGGCCCACAGGCGCCGAAACAGCGCCAAACGTTCGCTACTGCTCGGCACGGGCAACAATTCCGGCACACAGGCGCCAAGCAAAAAATGCAGCTGATCGGCGCCAAGTGACTGCTTTTGGTTCGCCTCCAGCTGCTGCAGCAGGCGTTCACAGTGCTCGTGACGGAGGATACCATGCTGCTGATAGTGCTGCTCCAGCTGTATCCACAGGTCCTCAACGTTTGCCACGACGCCTTCGCTCGCTTTGCGAGTGCGTTTCTTCCGTGTGGTCCTTTCTCCAGATCCTTTTAATTCGCCTACGGCTCCAACCGTTGAGTAGCTAAGGCTACCAGCTGGAAATGTTGTCCTGCTTGCTGGCATTGCATAACGCTGCCGGCACCCATGTGTCGCTGGCGTTGTGGCTGCTGTCGTCGCAGCTGCAAGTCCACCGCTTCGCAGTGAGGCAACATAACGTAAGCACACATTCTTCAACAGATGCGTGCGCAACATGGCAACTGCCAATGCGCCAATATTGGAAACAATCAAACGTAACACGACTCAACACGCGAGCCGGCTAAACTAGATCTTGCTGAAACATCGTTATTATCGATAGTTTCAGCAATAAATTGACTATCGCTGGTGGGCTGAGACCATCGCTTTTTGTTTTGTTTTGCTTGAAGCCCACTTTAAAAATCAATAAATCTTATCGATAATGAATAGCTTCATATACATGTATTCATGTATAAAACGGTGTCAAACCGATCACGGAATATTTCGCGGCAGAATATTGACGGCCGGCTCGAGACTGCACAACTAAAATCCACTTTGTTAACTCACTGCCACCTGTATGGATTCTGTTCAACGGCATCAAAATAATAAATTTTTGATATGTTTTGACGGCGGTTATCGGCAAACCACCATAGAAATGGTAAATGCATCGAAATTGAAATAGCAAATTTGTTGCGGCGGGCGACGAAAGTATCGATAGTCGAAGATGCCAACAGCTGCTGTTACAGGTGATAGCAAAGTCGCCGTTGGACGCCGAAAGGCCTGTTTTTTTTTTTATTTGAATGCTTAAGATTGCCACTGTCCGTTAAGTCAGCTGTTTTGTTAGTGATGTGAGGTATGGTCGGCGGGCATGGGTAGACTCACCCCTAACGGAGCACTGGCTGGGCGGAGTTGCCCCATTGAGACAAATCAACAAACCGAAATATAAATGAAAAATGGTTTTAATCTTAAAAATTAATTCATTAAATTGTAGCCTCCCAGCAGACCTTTTTGTTTTCAGGCTGTACAAATGAAATATATTGCAAATTTAGGTCTCGAAATGGTGCTTAAAACATAAGCGATATATCGTCGCATTGGATGTTTCATGTAAAACATCGATAAGCACCAAGTTGCTTCAATGGGTGCCTATCGATAGACAGAAAGCCAACATTTCTATAAACGCACAGCTCTGATTTCTGTTATCGCTGCACGTTTTTTGTTTTCGTAAACAATCAAACAATATAGACAGTCATGTCGTCTTGGAAAAAGGCATCCAAAAGCAACCAGAAGGTGCATCGGGAACGCCATCAGCCCGCGGAGCGCCAGCATCTCGGTCTGCTCGAGAAGAAGAAGGACTACAAAAAGCGTGCTATTGACGCACATCGGAAGGAGAAAACGCTAAAGACGCTTCACAAGCGCGCCATTAACAAGAATCCCGATGAGTTCTATCATCACATGGTCAACTCGAAGCTAAGCGAGGATGTGCATCGTGAAAATGATGCCAAGGACGAGCACACGTCCGACCAGTTGGCACTCATGCAGACCCAGGATCTCAAGTACGTAGGGATGAAGCTCACCGTAGAGCGACGCAAGCTGCAGCGCCTGCGTGAAACGCTCGTCGACGTCAATGGTGCCAGCGCCGGGCACAACGAACGCTTCACCTACAACGAGAAGGGCATAAAAGAAAAGGTGCCAACGCCAAAGACAGAGACAGCAACAGCAGAGAATCTGGTGAGCGTCTCCTCTTTTACATACGCCTACAAATTAAAAAAGTGGTGAAGAAAAATGTGCATTTAAGAAACCCAAATTTTAAAGTCATGTCCAAAATGCAATTTATTAATTTATAACTGTTCTCATTGAAAATGAAAAGTATCTGGCTAAAGAAAAATGCCTTTAGTCAAAACCGCAAATTTGAAGATAAGATCAGATAAGGTTCATATTGGTTCATAAGGAGTGGCGCAGATCAGAATAAATTTGGTAAATGCTAAGAAATTCTGTTAAATGAACTAAAAAATTAGTCATGCATGGGGGTGATCACCCTCTGATCCGTGCCAGTCTCAATATGTCAAGCCGAAGCTTTCCCTCATCTGAAAATTTGCTAGCCAATGTCGGCATACTTATAGGTTAAGATATTGTAATTTGGACATGACTTTTAAATTTTCTTTGAAAATTCACAAGTTTTTTTCCTTACCTATTTATATATATATATATTAACGTGTAAACTAACCAAGTTCCCAAATCTCAATCAGGAAACGGGCGTCAGAACGCACAGGCAGCAGCTTCTGAGCGAGTTGAAGAAACGAGAACAGCGCGAACGTGAACTGAGTATAACAAAAAGGAAGCTGGAGCTGAAGAAGGCCATTAGTCAGCCACGCCTGCTCAAACCAAAAAAAATCAAGGCCGGCACGAAGGACTCTGCGCCCATTTATAAGTTTCGTTATGAGCGCAAAAAGTAGAAACCAATACTCCCCTTTTTTTTTGGTTTATTGAAATAAATACATATATATTTATATATTTGAATATGTAATTAAAATAAATGTGCCTGTCGAAACTGATCTAGCTATCTCGATACATCATGGTTATCATCATTATCTGTAAACTACATGCCTTTAAGTTATCTGAGAACTAATTAAGATTGTCTTTGAATTATGTGGAAGCTTAAAATATAAATGTTTCAACAAATTTTGGCATTAGCGCCATCTGTGGGTGGAAAAGAGCCATATGTTGGGAATTTGTATAACTTGTCGCTCTGTTAACTGTTATCGTTTTATTTTGTTATGTTAAAAATGCAGTTAGCGATGCGTTTAGCGGAGACACGAACCAATTACAGCTTGTATCCACTTACGATATTCGAGTACTTCGCTTACGTTATTTACCAGCAGATGGCGCAAGCGAACAAGAACCAAATATATAAATAATAAATTGGATGATCGAAATGATCGATTAATGTGTATATAATAATGTGTTACATTGTACATATATGCAAGTAAAACATCTATTTTGGCATAGTATATCACATCATCAAGAGTACTCTAATGTACAGGCGACCGACTAGCTGATACCCTTCAAATAATTTTGGGTATGTTTAACTTGATATGCAATAAAAATGACCAATGCTGAACAAATACATAATAATACATGTATATCATATAGCTTGCTCGGCTTCTAGAATTAAGTAGAGATGTCAGCAGTTGGACTGAACTGGTCTGCAAGGCTCGATTATCTCTGTTACTGAAAATAGCCGTTTTTTGTTTTTATAAAATTATTACAAATTGATCAAGAAGTGTACAATGAAGTTGCGTAAAAGTATATATAACAGGTGGATCTAGAACTCCTTGAGGTATTTATATGGATCAGGTTAGCAGTTGAGTTGATCTAGCCATTAGAATAAAATTTCAATAGCCTGTTTAAAATACAATATTATGCAAGACATAAATATTCATTACATTAAGGACTTAACTAAGCTCTAAGATCAAGGAAAACATTTACAATTGCAACCATATCAAATGGACGGTGTCAGAACTTCGTTACAAATGCTCTGAGTTAGGTCTTAAAAATATTTTGAATTCAGTTTCGGACTCCGATTCCCATGACCATTGCCCCAATCTGAATTTCAATTTCGATTTCGTTTCCATCTCCACATCGCCAATGGACTTGGTAGTTAGTAATTGGAGTAATTGGAGCAGGAGTCCAGAATCACCTTGGTGAGATTAGATAGTGCCAGATATATACATATAAAGTATATATACATATAAGTTACGTATATATATATAACTGGCGCGTACTTGACCTGGGTGTTATCCTGGCTGTCGTTGACATGTGACCCGCACACGATATGAAGAATATGAAGATGCCGCCTCGATAATCTCAGCACAGCCATTAACCATTAACCATAAACCGTAAACACTGAGCCGTAATTCTAAAAATGCGAGCATCGGCCCAGCCAGCACAGGGAGATTTGCGGAACCCACCCTGGTTTTTGGGCACAGTTTCGTATTACAAACCCAATTGAAGCTAGTTTAAATAGGTTGGTTGTGTGAAAGTTTGCGGTGTCTCGGCTCTGATTTTGGCAATTGGATGTTGTGCCTTTTCCCTCTGCAGATTGTTGCTTGCAGTCTGCAGTTTGCTGTGCTCTTGTTGTGATGGGCACATGACAAGTCCGATTAGGCGGATGAGGCAGGCAACATTGCTTCGTTTCCCTTTTCCCTTCTTGCTTTGCCCTTGCTTGTCCTCTCGTTTCACCTCATGTCTACCCCTCCGTCGAGTGTCAACACAGCAAGCTATTTTATGCATCATCAAAATGGTGTCATATGTTTTTATTATGCCTCCGTTTCAGTCTCAGTCTTAGTCAGTTAACAAATGTGCTTCTTTCTCTTTCTCTCTCTTTCTATTTCTCTGTCTTTCTCTTTCTCTGTTTGTCTGTCGGTTTGATTTAGTCGCATTGACTGCCATTGCAAATTTCGACAAACATTTGTTAGTCCGTTGGCAATTAGCTTGCAAATTAGATTTGCGCACCTTTTACCTTTGGGTTGTCTATGCTGTTGCTGCTGCTGCTGGTGCTGTTGCTGGTGCTGCTGGTTGTGCCACGCCCACATCCGCATCCGCATCTGCATCCGTGACGCAGTACGCTGTTGCACGTGTAAAACGTCGGTCACGTGACTGCACGTGCCACCAGCTAACAGACTGTTGCCTGCTCTGCTGTGATAAGCGCAACTTTCCACAATAGTGTGCCCCAGCTGCCCCGCGTGCCGCTGCGAGATGTCAAAGACCATGTTGCAAGGCAGCCCAGCCCATCACACCGACCGGGAATTGGGTTTCCAAGAGCGACGCTACGCTACGCTGACGCTTCGTAATCTTGATTTCCCGCTGCCTGAATTAGGGGCGGGGGAGCGGGTGTCAGTACCGGTGCGGGTGCTGATGCGGGTGCAGGGGGGCTGGTAGGCGGTTGATATCTCGGCATCAGCGTCAGCTACAGCGACAGCAACAGCGACAGCGACAGCTTCAGCGACAGCCTCTGAATCGATGGTTTTGTTAACGTAAATATCTTAATTCGCCGCTTCACCGCCCCCGACACGCGTTAATCGTGTGCTTTTGACATACGAATTTTTAAATAAAATGCGACAGCAAAATACTCACACAATGTCCAACAAACAACAACAATTCCTCTCTCACACTCAACATCAACTTATGTATTCACCGATGTAGGTACACTTGCAGAAAACTACAAGTCTTTTTTAATTGATTTTAGAAATAAGTTCTTAGTATAAGAAAATAAATGTCTCAAAATCGGCAAGACTTGTCCTAAATCGGCAAACGCTAAATTGTTTTTTTTTTCCTTTAGGAAATGCATTTCAGAAAAGTAAAAATATAAAAGTTGAAAAGTCAATTTAGGGCAGTTTTTTCTGATTTTTTTACCTAATATATTTGACACATTACGGAGCAAATCAATACAAATTGGAGTTGTATTATAATAAATAAAACTATTATAAGTTATAAATAAGCTAAAGTTATATAAGTTAAAGTCAAATAATCTTAAATGAATCTTGGAAGATTGCTAGCTAGAATCGATCTGGGAACTAAACAAGTAAGCCCCATTAATGTATTTTTTAGGGTTTTTTCGATATTTCTACATTTAAGAAACCATTTTCTCAATATTAGAAAGGCCTGTTCTAAATTATTTTATAGAAATGTTTTATATTATTAAGAAATACATTTCCACAATTAGAAATGTAAGCCTTTATTCTCAGAAAGAATCCGTTTTTGAAATTAGTAACGAAATTTTCCCTAACAATAGTTATTTTAAAAGAAATCTTAAAACTCCAATGTTTAATAATAATATAAGTAACAAAACAGAATTATTGTTCTATGTCCAGATTGGACTATTTTTTTCCTAGTATTACAAAAATTAAAAAAATTCGCCTAAAGTATGGCGAGTTCCTAAAATTCAGGACATTTGATAAAGCGAAAAGTTTGACTCATGTTTACTCAACTAATTTACTTGGTTGTCTTTGTTTATTGATATTCAACACTCACATTTCTTTACCAACTCCTCGAAATCTTTATCTTTTATTTGGTTTTATAATTTGGAACTTTTTGCTGTAACTTATTGGATTTGCACACTTGTTATCTTGTTGCTGCCCCAACAGCAACGGGTTGTCACTGTTTCCAGCTTGCTGAGCACCTGATCGCACCTCGCAGCTCCTCACACCCTGCTAGGTGAGGCATGCACCCCTCTAACAAGCCAACCAGCAGGCGACGCGTTGCCCGAACCCAAAAAAAAAAACACTACAAAAACAACCAAGCATCAATAAAAAAAAGAAAACAAGTGAGAACGTAGTCGTGGTCGTAGTCGTAGGTAAACGACTGTGCAATACCCTGCCAACCTTCTCTTTGTTGATTTACCTTTCCAATTTTGTAGGTCTAAGATTGTGAAATAATTTTTGTAATCTTGGAAGGAACTTACCAGTAATTTTTCTATTTTTCGTAGCTCTAAAATTGTGATCTTTAAGGGCAATGTTTCGAATTTGTGGAAAGGCCTTGGAGCTAAAGGAGATATCGTTTTACACTTCAAGGTGTATCAACGTGCTATCGATTTGACTTTCTGAAACGTGAATATATTCCAACATTAAGACTGATAGGCCAGAAAAGCCCGTGGACTCTTTCACATTAGGTATTAGAGTATGCGAAGGCCATTAATATAAACGGCAACTAGAAGTCAACAGGCACTGGCAAATCCTATAAGCAAATGCCTTTTCCCGTTATTCAGTTCAGACCGCTCTCACCCCACTCTCAGCGGTGTAGTGGTGCAGTGGTGCGCAGTGCAACCCCTTTTGCTGGCTGCAAAAACAGAAAAAACCCGAATCCTGAACGCACTTTGGTCTCACATACAAGTATTAGTTTGATTGTGAGAAATCGTACAAGTATTTTTTATTGTGCAAGTTAACTTTGAAGTGTCGCTGGTTATGGGCCGTTCGCCGTATTGCCTACCCACAGTGAAACCCTTCCTTTCCCCTGCCCCGCTTCATTGTCGTTGCCGGCACTCGTCTGTCAGTCAGTTTGTAACCACGACAGGCACACAGACTAACCCCTAAATTGACCTTTAAAACTCCCAAATGCGCAATTTATCATTTCCTCGCCGAATCAGGCCAGGAGAGGGGGTTTCCGAAATGATGGGTGATGGCCAAGCCGACTGGGTGTGTGTGTGTGTGTGTGTGTGAATCTGGATTCTGACAAGAGCTGTTGCCTGCTGCCATCAATCGTTTAGAATGAAGAGACCCTGGGCACACACAGGCGTTGCTGCGAGGAGGTGGCAGGGAGCAAGGGGCATTTTGCGATAGCGATAGCGATTGCAACAGTGACATGGCGACAAATCTGATATCAGATGTGCGTCCCGAGACGAGGCTTAAGCGCACATAAGCACACACCCACAATAAAACCGCTTGCCCCAACACCAACACCAACAACATACCCTAACCCTAACCCTAACCCAAACCCAAACAGAAACCCAAACCCCAAAACTCAACCCAAGTGACCCTTTCGCTGGCATGCCATTTTGGGCATTCGTTATGC